GTCCTGAGTTCAATTCCCAGCAACCACATAGTAGCTCACAACCATCTGTACTGGGGTCTGATGCCCTCTTCTGGCATGCAGGTGTATGCAGTCAGAGCACTCATATACAAAAATAAATCTTTTAAAAAAAGTTTATCATATAACCTTATAATTTCACTCTTACATGTACAGCCAAAAAGCTAAAAAGAGATAAAGTATGTGTGTATGTGTGCTCATATCAGGCCTATATACAATAGTCAAAATAGAAACATAACAAACATTAATCAGTAAATGAATGGAAAGTGTATAATTATAGATGCATATAAAGAAATATTTGGCATGAAAGACTGATACATGCTGAAACATAGATAAACACCTGAAACATTTTGCAAAGTGAAAAAGGTATGCAAAAAATATCACCTATCAAGAGTTCCATTTATATGGTATATCTAAAATAGATAAATCCATAGAGGCAGACTATAGCTTGGTGTTAGCCAGAGGTTGAGAGGAGGGAAAACCTACTTAAAAGAAAAGGTGTTTAACTTGGCCAGGGATGGAATTAGATAGAGATAGTAGTTTTACAACACTGTAAATCCAAGCAGTACAATGAGGAAGGTATTCTGAACTAGGGCTCAATCTCTACAGAGAAAGAATGTATCCTTGCTCGGAAAAGGAGTCACTAAGGCTTCCAAAGTAGGTGGGTTCAACAGGGGACCTTGGTGAAAAAAATATAGCCCTGACTGCTAAAAGAAAAGCCTAGATATGAAGACTGGGCAAAGACTTTATCAGTGTCACTCCCAAGGTTCTGAATGGCTCCCTATTTTTTGGAGAAGTGGGGGTTGTTTCAAGACACTATCTTCTTTGTAGTTCTAGATGGCTGTCCTGGAACTAGCTCTGTAGACCCGGCTGGCTATAGAGATTTGCCTGCCTCTGCCTGAGTACTGAGACTAAAGGCAGGCCTGTAGCACCACCGCCCAGCCCAATGTGCTTCTTACTCACTGAGGGTCAGCCTCACCTTTTCTGACCTCATCTTCTGAACCTATGCTCAATTCACTGCCGTTGTCCCTGTTCCTGGATGAGGAAGGCTCTCTCACACATACTTCCCAGTTTTTGCATGTGCTATTGCTATCTGCACACAACTACCATCTGCCAAATCCCCTTCTACCTTTTACCTGTTCTCCCAGAGGAAAGCATTGACAGAGCTTCATGCCCACTAGCAGAAGCCTCACAGGTGTGTTTTCTTGGTCCCATGCTTCCCTTCACTGTAGCAATTATTAAACTCACAACTAACTTGAGGCCAGCACTGTGTTTTGTGTGTATCTTTTTATAGTGTATCTTTTATAGCCTGTCACAGCACTTAGCAACATAAACCATGGCTTTTTAAAAGAGCAAATGAATAATTAGCGAGAGACAATAGGAGATGATATACCACTTTGAAGTATACAAGTCTTAGACAGGTTTTGTTGTTGTTGTTTTCTTTTACCATTCTTTCCTTTGAATTACTGTAACTGGCAAACTTGGAACGTGTGTTTGTTGAATTCCTGTTACACTCAGGAAAAAAGTCCCCAGATTTGCAGATGGTAAGGTGTGGCTGACATTTTTAAGCAATGTGATGTCAGCACAGTTCCCCCCAAAGCTTTCGTGGCAATGGGCTCCTCTGTCTTAAAAAAAATCTGTAAAATAAGCTTCAGAAAGAACAAAGACCAGACCTCTATCCTTTCTCACATACGCCCCCTTGTGTCAAGAACTAACACGTAGGCCAAGATAGAAAATTTAATCCAGTTAAAGCTATTTCACTGGCCTCTTTTTAAAAGGCACCAGAATCACCTATGATTTCAGAAGAATACTGACTGTGTGAGTGCACCGTGCCGCATTCTCTTTCATTTATGTCACTCAAACTGCGCTCCCAGTGCCTAGAGCTCTTGGTCATCCCAAGCAATTGTGTCAACCTTTGCCCTGGGTCCTCAGGCATGTGGGTCTTTGAGAGAGTTTAGACATTTGAAATGCTTAATGATGTTATATTATCACTAGACATGAACCTGAAAGCCCACCAAAGAAAAGAGCAAGTGCCTCTGCCTTCTCCTGGAGAGTTATCACCTTGGAGCTAAATGGGTACTACCCTTCTCCCACTCACTAATAAGGTAACTGAGCACAAATTACTTGCAAACTGGAAGAGGAGTAATGGCTTTATTATCTATCCATATCATTGGCAAAAAAAAAAAAAAAAAAAAAAAAAAAGAGCAATGCTTATCTAAATTTGGTGTACACAAAAGTAAAAAATAATAAAAGTGGTTCTCCAGAATGAAAAAGTGAGACCCACTACCTCTGCAAACCTGCCGGCCTTTGAGTTATGCACAAACTAGGTTACTTCTGTTTGGTCACATCCCTAATGCCCAGGTCACCATACAGCAGCGGCACAAGAAATGATTCACTTCCCTGCATTGGTGAATGGCAAATAGCTCCTTCCAGGAAAGGAACTTAAATGGACTTTTAACTTACTTTGGCTCAAAAGCTTTAAAACTTTCTTGTGATCCATTGTATGAAATGCAATTTCTTGGTTTTTTTTTTTAATTACACTTTATTCACTTTGTATCCCCCATTAAGCCCCTCCCTCCTCCCCTCCCGATCCCACCCTCCCTCCCCCTTCTTCACGCATGCCCCTCCCCAAGGCCACTGAAAGAAGAGGTCCTCTTCTCCTTCCTTCTGATCTTAGTCTATCAGATCACATCAGGAGTGGCTGAATTGTCATCTTCTGTGGCCTGGTAAGGCTGCTCCCCCCTCAGGGGGAAGTGATCAAAGAGCAGGCCAATCAGATTATGTCAGAGGCAGTCCCTCTTCCCATTACTATGGAACCCACTTGGGCACTGAACTGCCATGTGCTACTTCTGTGCAGGGGTTCTAGGTTATCTCCATGAATAGTCCTTGGAGTATGAGTCTCTGGGAAGTTCCCTGTGTTCAAGTTTTCTGGTTCTGTTGCTCTCCTTGTGGGGTTCCCGTCCTTTCCAGCTCTATTTCCCAAATCTTACATAAGATTCCATGCACTCTGCCCAACAGTTGGCCATGAGTCTCAGCGTCTGCTTTGATAGTCTGCAGGGCAAAGGCTTTCAGAGGCCCTTTGTGGCAGGAAACTCAATTTCTTTACTCATTCAAGTTTTGCCTTTATTTTCCCTAATTCTACCCACTATCCATGTATTCCTTTGCCCCATCTAAAGGTTTCTTAAAAAATTATGACCATATTTTGAACACTCAGACATTTAACATACATTTAGCAAAGGCTTGTTGTGGGCTGGATACTACGCCAAGTGCTAGAGAACACAGAAATAGATGTCGTTAACCACCCTCATGAAGTATGACATGAGCAAGTTAAGCTCTTAACTAAAGCACCAGATGTGCACCTGTTACAAAGGCTTCATGACGAGGCATTTCCACTGGGATCTGAGCAATACAAAGAAGTTGGTCTACTACACTAGAAAAAAAAGTGCTCCAAGTTGAGAAAACATCATGTGCAAAGGCCATGAATAAGAAGCAAAATTAGTAAAGTGGGCTTGATCACTCTAGCTCTCTCTCCTGGACCCCCTGTCCTACAATCTCTACTTAAGAGAAATCCTCAAAACAGGATTAAATCCTACCTCTTCCCTCTTTTCTAAGTCCTTTTATTAGTGTATATTCTCGATACAAGTGATGAGCTTATGACATTCTTATTCAAGAGTATAATTACTTTATGCTTGTTTACTCCCCTCTAACTGCTCCTTTTACTCTCCCCTTAATCTTTCCAAACAGCCTTCCCCTTCTATTTCATGTCACACACATACACACCCTGAGATTGCATATGAGAAAAAACACGTTTTGTTGTTGTTGTTGTTGTTTTTATTTCTGAGTCTGGCTTCCCTTGCTTAGTATGATACGCTCCCATTTTCCAACAAATGCCATGAGTTTGATTTTCTTTATGGCTGAATAAAACTCTGTTCACATAATACATTCTTGTTGTCCATTAATTTGTTGATAGACTCTCAGGCTTCTTCTGTAGCTTGGCCATTGCAAATACCGCCGTTGCCTCACTCTCAGCTGGACTAGAAAATTACTTGTTAAACACTTGCATGATTCTATACCGTTTTCTGTGGAAGCCTGTTCTCTACATTCTCCCGTTCCATTCTCTCCATTACAAGTTCTTGGGGAGCAGAAATCCTTGTAACCCCCACACAGCCTAACAGAAACTCCTGTACAGTAACAACCTGAATTGTTGTTGGACTGAATTACTTTTATGGTTTTCACAATATTGATCCTTAAACCTAGCTGACATTCAGATAGTTCTGAGAATGAAATTGAAAAATATTTTAAAGTCTAGAGTGCTTGGCCTGATTAGAAGTCCCTCAAGTATAACGGGACTGCTCCAGGCCTCCGGCCTCTGTCCCTATTACCGCCGACAGGACGATTTACATTTCCTCTCCATTTGATCTACTTAAGCACTTGCTGATAGAAAACAAGTTTTGTTTTTAATGAGCCTCAGTACTTAGAATAGTGGTTAGACGGTAGCCGATTCTCACAAAGTTGAAATCTAAGTAAGCCGTTATTTTCACGATTTTACCATGTGGAGCAATGACTATGGTAACTGAAGTTGGAGAGGGTTAAATCCTGAACATTACCGACCCAGGAAGAGAAGAATTTCCGTTTCCCTAAAAGAGGGGGACTAAAATAGTTGGTCCTCCAGTGCACCAGAGGGCCGAACGGAAAGACGGGAAATTGCGACCATGCGCTGCGAGCTGGACTTCCACAAGTCTCCTGAACCGAAGCTACAGCGCGGTCTGTCCCCCACAGTGCTCGGCAGCGAGGACTGCGGGTCCCAGGTTGCCATGCGGCTACCCACGACTCAGTCTGGGAAACTCGCTGTGGGACTCTAACTCACCGCTAGCGCAAAAGGGCGCCAGAAGGTGCTCCAATAAGCCGGTTTCTTAGGGTGGTAGAGGCGGGATGAGATGGGGAGGTGGCAACGGGCTAAGGGGATGAGCGGTGAGCTCTGAGTCGTGTTAGTCAAGCGTAGCTCTATCTCCGAAGAGGCCCAGCCTTGTAGCACGGGATCGGAGAAGGCGCCAGTGGGCGTTTTAGTGACAGACCGGAAACTACATTTCCCAGTATCCTTACGGTTAGAGAACTTCATTGCCCGAAAGCCTTTGCGAGAGTCGGCACGCTTTCCGCTTCCTCTTGCTGCCCGGGAGCTCCGAGAATTATGAGGAGCCGCTGGGTCTGGCGGCTCTTGCGCCCTGACGGCAGCGGGGTCCGCTGGACTTCGACCCCCCACGGGCGTCTGTCGCCCGCTCTGCGGAGAGGTGAGACCAGAGTCGCTTAGGAAGACGGTTCGGGCGGGTCGTGCCTGCTCGGGCTTAAGCGAGAGCGACACACCTCCTGCCGGGCCCCGCCCACAAGGCTTTGCCTCTCCCGCGGCTCGGGGCTGGCGGGTCGCGGCCTGAACGGATGGGGGTCTGGAAGGAAGAAGGATTTCTTCCTTGGAGACCCAGCCCCCGCGGGCCTGCGCTTCCGGTGGGCTTCTGAGTTTTGCGGGGGGGTGGGGGGGGCGCGCTTCCGTCTCATCAGAACTTTTAGGTAGTTTGTGAGTGTCCTGATGTTTTGTTTTGTTTTGTTTTGTTTTGTTTGTTTTGTGTCCCGTTCAGATTTACTTATTTAGCCACTTGGAGCTCAGGGGTTGGTAGATTGCAGCACACATTTCAATTCAGATGCCCTTACAAATCACATAGTAAGCATTTTTTAAAGTGCTCTGCAGTCTATTCGTTTCCAAACACATATCCCCTTTATGTTAGTCTGTATATACCGGAGAATATCTTAACTTTATTCTGAGGATGATTTCCAAGGCTTTTTTAAAAATGGTTTTTGCTTTTGTTTTGTTTGCTTTCAAGACAAGCTTTCCCTGTAGACTTGGCTGTCTTGGACTCTCTCTGTAGACCAAGGTGGCCTCGAACTCACAGAGTTGAGCCTGCCTCTGCCTTCCTGAATGCTGGGGTTACAGGCGTGTGCCACCACGCCTGCTATGTTTTTGCTTTTCAGTTTTTAAATTCTTTTAAGGCCTCCCGCTGTAAAGGGCACCTCATCCCACCCTTCACATGTTTTTCCTGTGACGATAAAGTGAGCTGTTCAGTACCCAAACACATCTCTCCCTTCTCCACACCTGTGTGATTTGTTTTGTTGTCCTTGTTTTGTTTTTAACCTGTTCTTTAATTTCACTGAGTCCGTTGACCTGCAGTCAAGGCTGTTGTATAACTGCCAGTTAGTCACAGGACTTTGATTACATATGTAGGTAGTTAGTATGCATACACAGTCTGATGGACTTTTCAAAAAGGGAGGGGGAAATGTGTCCGCTGGTAGTTTGCTTCACGAATTTGAATTGCCAACACCCTCATAAAAGGCTCTTGCTATGGCTGGCCGCCAACTCCAGGTCCAAAGAAAGCTGGCCTCTCAAAGAATTAGACGAGACATGGCAGAGCAGGGTACCAAAGGCCTCCTCTATAGGTATGTGCACCCTCACACACAAAGGGGTATCATTGTTTTGACTCTGAAAAAGTAATTCAAATATCAGTTTATCTGTGTGCTTTTAGAAATATACATTGTTTAAACATTATTTAAAAAATAGATGTCATACCGAAAATACAACACCCCAAGAAAACGTTAATATTTTAATACAATTGTTGAGTTATTCCACTTGAGTCTGGTTACTCTTGAGTAAATCTTAAGTCTCCCCTTAAAATTAGTTCATGGTTTGTGCCCCTGTTCAGTGTAACAAGTATTTACTGCCTACTATAAACAAATAACATCAATAGCTAAGCAACTTTGAAAGGTGATCCTTATCCCATGGAAAGACCTTAGTTATCTAGTCCAGTGCTCTTTAAAAGTAAATGATGAGATGCAGAGGAAGATGTGATTTGTCTAAATTGTCTCTTCAGTAATACTACATTTCAAGTTGGTTACTAGTTTCCACATTTAGAAGTATAACATTACATGTTTCCTTTAAGTACAGATTCCCAAGTCTTATGACTAGAAGTACGGAATTAGTCCTCAGGGTTGGAGAGCAGGCTTTTTTGTTCATTTAATTGGCCATACACCTCATGAAGCAAAACACAGCATATAATGTAAGTATATATATACTTTTGTGGGTGTTTGCCTATCTGAGACAGTTTCACTGTTAAGCCGTATCTGTAGATCAGGCTGGCCTTGAACTCACAGAGATCCATTTGCCCCCCACCCCTCGCCTCTGACTGTCTGACTTTCCACCTCCTGAAGGCTGTGATTAAAAGGCGTGTGTGCCACCACCACCTAGCTGAGAAAATATGCTTTAATGTTTCTTTTTTGAATTCCAATAGAGAACTAATAAGCTAGGACCAGACAAGATGACTCTGTGAGCAGAGGTATTGCTGCCAAGCCTGATGACCTGGGTTCTGTCCTGGAACTCATGTGATAGAAGAACCAACTCCTCAAAGTTGTCCTCTGTCCTCCACACATGCCATTACATGCACACACCCACATACATACAAATAAATAAGAAATTAACCATTTATGTCATGGAAGTGGTTCAGTTCTAAAACAGACAGTAATTTAATAACACTTGCAACTTAGATTTAATGAACTTTTATATGCCTTTTTATTTTTTTAATTTTTTAAAGATTTATTATTCATACAACATTCTGCCTGTACACCAGATCTTACTATAGATGGTTAGGAGCTACCATGTGGTTGTTGGGAATTGAACTCAGTACCTTTAGGAAGAACGCGAGTGTTCTTAACCTCTGAGCCATCTCTCCAGGCCACTTATATGCCTTTTTAAAAAGCAAATTTTGGCCTTTTCCAGCAGAAAGTCATTTACTACGATTTAGGCTAGCAATCTGACCCTATATATACAATGTAGTAGTTTTGCAAGTTGATGTCTATTTGAATTTGTTTTTCTCAGTATAAACATACAAGATGAGTTTGAGAACATTAAAATGAAGAGAAAGATGTAGGGTTTTGTATAGTTGTCAAATGTACTCTTGTTTTGTTTTTCGAGACATGGTTTCTCCGTGTAGCCCTGGCTGTGCTGGAACTTGCTCTGTAGACCAGGCTGGCCTCAGACTCACAGAAATCTGCCTGCCTCCGCAGGGATTAAAGGCATGCACTACCACCACCTGGTTTCAAATGTACTCTTAAGGAGTCCTTATGAATCAAATTGCTGGTGCCACAGTCAGGCCAGTGAACATAATACCTTGTTGGGAATATTCAAAGGCTTTTCAGAGAAATGAAAACACACCTTCACTCACTCAACATCCTGTTGCCAGAGACTATATCGACACCCACATCAGAAATAAACAAAGTCAAATATAAGAAATAAATGGTCTGGAGAGATGGCTCAGCAGTTAAGAACAACTTGCTCTTCAGAAAACCTGAATTTGGTTCCCAGGACCTACCTCAGGCAGTGCTTCTAACTGACTGTAACTCCAGCCAGGGGATGCAGCACTCTTCTGTAACCTCCACAGACGTGTTCACAGTTGACATACATTCACATAGACATACACATACATCTAAGTAAATTCTTTTGAAATCTTAAAAGAAACATCCCAGATATCTTTCTTTATTCTTAGCCTCATCAGAAAGAGAATCCAAGGTAGAAATGACAGTGTTGTGTACCTTGGTGAATTTTGCCCATTCTGTTTACCTATCTGGCTTACTTCCCTAAGATTTCGTATAAATCTAGTGTCATTTCCAAATGATCTTTGTTCCCACAGAGGACCAAGCCTCTTTTCTCCCTGTAGATATATTTTAAAATCATATCCTAAGAGCCACACCCTTAAATGTTCAGAGCAGAAGTCAACACATTCAGTCTTCTGCCACCCAGAAGGCTGAAGGAGGATCACCTGGCCCAGCAATTTGAGGCAAACTTGAACAAGTCTCAGACCCCAAAATACCATTCATCACTGTACATGCGGTGCCAGACAAACAAAGTCCCTTTCATTCAATATGTGTCTTAGAGCACCTAAAGCTGTTGGGCACTGGGAACTCAACAGAGTCCAAGAATAGATGTGGCCCCTACTCTTATGTCTTACTTCAGTGGTTAGGAAACTTTCTATAAAAAGGCAAATGGTAAATATTTTAGGCTGTGTAGACCATATGGTTGACTACAACTTCTCTGTCATCCTAACATGAAAGTACCTATAGATAATAATTTCAGTAAAGTTTTATTTATAGAAACAAAAAGTGAGTGTTTGTAGCCTGATGGCAGCAGTTAACTAATACCTGATATAAGAAGGATCTTTAAAATTAGTAGTTGCATAAATGAGAAACCTGTGAGTGGTGTTGAAAAGAATATTACAAAGCACTTTAAACCATTACAAGAGGTCAGACCTCAGGAACCCTTGCACACTTCCCACCAGAAGAGATACTTGTGCAGAGCTCTCAAGAATGAATATGAACACGGCAACGAGAGCTTTCTCAACACAGGCTAGGCAAAGGCCCCAAGAAGGAAAAGCAAGCAGATGGCACATTTGCAGAGTTAAAGTCCAAGAGCCAGATAGCATAATAGGACATGAGATTAGCTGTACCCTGCAGAGATTTGATGGCAATGTTAAGGCCTTTATCCCAAGGAGTTGATTTTGTGTGAGGCATTCATTATTTGTTGACTGAATTCAGAAGCTGTACTAATTTGACTGTGGACAGGAGACCTCTAAGATTTGAGATTTATCATACTTGCCTCTGAACACCACTTTTTCCCATCAATAAAATGAGAATTTTAAGAATATAGTAATAAGCATGAAAACATAAAATATATACATATTTCAGATTTTTTTCTAAACTAGAGTGAACTTATGAGGAAGTGGTTACTAAGGAGACCAGGTCATCACTTCTAATGCAGCTCTTCAGGGCAGCTGCTGAACTCTACAGCTCTGATTTTTATTTTTCTCTCCTACTTTGACTCTGACACACAAAAGCACTTTTTTGCGTTTGTTTTTTTAAACTTTTCTAGATGACATTCAGCCAAAAAGAAGGCTACTATGCTAGTGTATATTTCAAAGCAAGGTTCCACCTTTCCAGGTGCTTCTTTTATCTCTTCGGTTAAATGGAATTCAGAGGCTTTGATTTTTTTCTTTTAATAACACCTGTTTACTGTTTTCTATCCCATAAAATCAGTGAAGACACCAGGTATGTTCTTTCACCATATTTTGCTCTGCGCCCAGTGCTTAATCCATATTTGTTGACTAGAAGGATACTTAAGAATTATGTCTTATAATTTACTAGCATAAAGTAATTCCTGAAATTGAACCTGTCTTTTAAGTACCTACATATGTAAGTAGCTTGGGGTAAAACAAGAGAGACAAAGAACACAAAGTGATATGAATATTCGGAGCTTTGTAGTCAAAAGAACCTAAACCTGAATCCCATTACCTATCAGTAGGTCTGTGACCTAAGCAAACTCCTTTGCCTGTCCTAAACACGGTACGGTTTGATCTAGTCTGGACTGGTTTTGGTATGTAGCCCAGGCTAGCATTGAATTTATGATCCACCTGCCTCTGTCTCCTGAGTGCTAGAATCACCATATCCATAGCTATAATAGGCATTTTTTTTAATTTAAAAATGAAAATACTACTTTGCTTTGGCAGCATATAAGTTATCTGATAAAACACCTTATACTTGATCATTACACTGAAAGTTATTTTTTTAATTTTTTTATTAATTACACTTTATTTACTTTATATCCCCCTGTAGTTCCCTCTCTCCTCCCCTCCCAACCCCTCCCTTCCTTCCCATTCTCCACGGATGCCCCTCCCCAAGTCCACTGGTAAGGGAGGTCTTCTTTTCCTTCCTTCTGATCCTAGTCTGTTAAGTCTCATCAGGAGTGGCTGCATTGTCTTCTTCTGTGGCCTGGTAAGATTGCTCCCCCCTCAGGGGGAAGTGATCAAAGAGCAGGCCAATCAGTTCATGTCAGAAGCAGTCCCTGTTCCCATTACTATGGTACCCACTTGGAGACTGAACTGTTATGGGCTACATCTGTGCAGGGGTTCTAGGTTATCTCCATGCATGCTACTTGGTTGGAGTATCAGTCTCAGGGAAGACCCCTGCGCTCAGATTTTTTTGGTTCTGTTTCTCTCCTTGTGGGGCTCCTGTCCTCTCCAGATCTTACTGTTTCCCACTTCTTTCATAAGATTCCCTGCATTCTGCTCAAAGGTTGGCCATAAATCTCAGCATCTGCTTTGGTAGTCTGCAGAGCAGAGCCTTTCAGAGGCCCTCTGACAATTAGACAGTTATTTTAATGTATCACAATAGTAAAGAAGTTTTTGTTTTGTTCTTTTGGGTGTTTTGTTTTGTTTTGTTTTTTGAGACAAGAGTTTCTCTGTGTAGCCTTGGCTGTCCTGGACTCATATTGTAGACCAGGCTGGCCTCAAACACACAATGATATGCCTGCCTCTGCCTCCCTGAGTGCTGGAATTAAAGGCATGTGCCACCATGCCCAGCATAAAGAAGTTTTATAAGTGCAGAATTCATCCTCAGAAAAAATACTTTATAATAAAATATATCAGTAACAGAGGAAAGAACTATACTCTGCATTAGTTTTGGGAATTAAATGGAACAGGGCCAGGCAACTTAGCAACGACTGATAGCTCTTAAGGCTCCTATACTGACTAGTGAATGCTCCAAACCTTAATCAAATTCATTGATTTTGATTCATCTCTGTGTCAAAGTACTGTTGTATGACAAAACTTTTCCTGGGGAGACGCAACACATATGTCTACTCACCCCAGTTAGGGTACCTGTGACAGATCGAAGTACAGATAATACCAGAGTCCAACTTGTTGAACCATGAACTTTATTGGGGTTACTTACAGGAGCAGAAATGACTGAAAAACAGCTGTATCACCAAAGCCCTCCCCATTATGGATGACAGTCAGAAAGCTGGAAACCTGGAGCCCACTGCACAGCTTGCAGGCAGCTACTTAGGTTGGAGAGTGTCCTTTCCAGGTGCCTCAGTTGGTCTAAACCACTTCCAGGCAGCTCGGCTGGTTTCTGCAACTTTGGGGGAGCTGTTCTGGTCTGAGTCATATTTCAGCTCAGCTTGCTGAGTCTTCTTAACACTGTGTCTTCTCCCAGAATCTTTGCAGTATCCTTCCATCTGAGAGGGACTTCCACCTTGTATTGATCAGTCTGGCAGGGAGTGATATACCTTCTTGCTTAGGGTGCTTCCCTGCTGGATGTAATGTTCCCACCTTGGAAGGAACTGTTAAACAAGTGCGCTTGTGGGTCCTGAAGATGCAGTGATAAAAAAAAAATACAGCCAAAATAGCATAAGGCTTATAGTCTGGTTCAGAAAGAAAACAGCTAGTGTGCTAATTGTATTAGTGCTGAAAACTAGGAAATAATTGATATGGGTTTGTACAAGAGCCAAAAGTAAGAAGATACATAAACAATGGTTCTGTAGCTCTGTGAGAAACTTCTGAGCAATGAAGAAAATGGGGCAGACTCTGCTTCCCAGTAGTTAGGACAAAAGCCGTTAATACACAACCTTAGGATTTAGACCAACTCTTAAATCATTTCTGAATGTCAAAAGAAAATGAAATATCCACTAATGTTTGCCATGTGCAGAACAGCGTCAGAGACTTTTCCAATGAAAAGGGTTCAGAAGAGTCAGTTAATTTGGATTTCAGGGCTCCTAATTTGGAAGCTAGAATTGTATTTAAATAGATGAGGAGAGCTCTTCAGAAGTCAAAATGTGATACCACTGTAAATTCCAAGATAACACTGTCTTCTCTTTTCAGGTTTCTTGACCACGACAACCAAGTTGAGCTATGATAGTAGGCCAGTGGACATAACTCCTTTAGACCAAAGAAAATTAACTTTTGATACCCATGAATTGGTGCAGGACTTGGAAACTCATGGTGAGAAACATGAATACTTGAAAGAAGAAAATTAGCAGCACTCGTATAATTCCCAAGTCAAGACAGTGGCACAGTTACCAACAATTTAAGAGGGATTATTGAAACAGAAGTGCTTGCCATACACTGGAATGTTCTATGGTCACTTAAAATCATATTGTTAGGAAGGATATAGAGTGAAAAGGCAAAGTATAAAACTATATGCACAAAATGATTCCAGTGAAGTGAAAAAAGAAACTCTTCAGGCCAATACTAAATCCTGGGTGGAAGTTATAAATGTTAAAGAATATTAAGGAATAAAATATTTCCAGATACCGTAATTACAAGAGAACACTGAATTGACAGTACAGAGTGGTATTCAGAAATAGTAAATATGTTTACTGAAGTTACAGATAAACCTAAATGTTGAGTTCTTACAAAACAATAAAAGAAAGTTTAGTAATTTTATAGAAAATGAGTCAAAAGTCGTGCAAAAAAGTAGTACACAGAAAACTAAAAATGTACGTGAACTTACTTGTGCGTAACTTCATTATCAACCAAGTACAAATTGAAGTACGAATGAAAGTAATGCAGCGCCATTTTATTGTCAGTTCTATGCTCACTGCAAAAAGACTGGGGTCTTCAGTTTGTTGTCGATCTAATTATATTAGGATTACAGAGTGCTTTCAGAGGAAGATGGCACTGTCTGTTGTGTTTATCATTGCAACTGTTTTAAGTATAACAGTTGACATGTTGAACATTTGTTAGCTGTCTCCTCTGCTAGTGATGTACATGTTTTAAAATGCAGATTTATTTGTATACAGGATTTGACAAAACACAAGCACAGACAATTGTATCAGTACTAAGTACATTATCAAATGTCAGCCTGGATACTATCTATAAGGAGATGGTGACTAAAGCTCAGCAGGTAATACATTCATATTTTTTTTATCACTCCTAATAGTTTCATTATATAGTATTTTCCAAGAAAGGAGGACAGAATTTGAAGGGCTTTTCACAGAGTCTGTGTCTAGAAGAATTGTATCTTCCCTTGTATGAAATGAATGTAGTATTTCAGTCATGGTGATACACATTAGTCAAACAACTCCCAACCCCGCCCCCTGCCCTGGAAAACCTTCCAAAGTAGAAGAGCCAGCCTTTCTATATGACATAAATATATGTGCCATAGTTAATTTTCACAGACTTTGGAAGTTAGCAGGGACTAACATGGCTACAAAAGACTTTATAAATTACCTGAATTGCTGAAGTGTTTAAATCTGACTGGATAGAAAGTTCTTCAAAAAAAATTTTTAAACATTATTTATTGGGGGTGAGGGTGCATGTCATAGCACAGGTGTGGACGTCAGAGGACAGTTTACCGGAGTCAGTTGTCTCCTTCCACCATGTGGGTCCCAAGAATTGAAGTCAGGTTGTGCAGCTAGGCATACGTGCTTACCCACTGGTCCATTTTGCTGGCCTGTGTGTGCATGGTTGAGTGATTCTTAAGACATTTCATATTTCAGAGATAATAAACAAAAATAAGTGGCATTGAGCTGTTTAAAAATCTGTTCTCATTTTTTATATTTTTTCAAATTTAGTCTTTGTTTTTCAGATGGTCATTTAAAAACACAGACATAAAAATATGATGTCTTAAATAAAATTCGAATTTATGTCATGAAATTTAGTTATTTTAAGGGTTACAGAACATCAAAAACTCTTAAAAATTTTTACTATAATTCTAAAATAAATTAGAAATTGAAACACCGATCTCTTGCTTTTCAGTTTTGCATTATTTTAGCCTATCTTATTTCAGGATCATCACAGGCTAGCAAATTAACTGAGGGGAAAAAAGCCAAGCATTTAATCAATCCTCCCAAAGTTCTGATCTGTCCTGTAGTGACCTATCCAAAGAAGCTATGGATGTTTTCAATAAAATAGCTTACTATTAAATTTTAAGCCTGTTTTTTATGTAAGCATAAATTTAAACTATGACCTTAGGAATATTTCTCCTGCCAAAACCACTTAATCCAAAGTAGCACCAAGCGTAGAAATATTACTAAACTTTAAGCTTTTTAAAGTACTTGTTTGTGATGTTAAAAAGACCCTTTTATCTAGGAACCTAACCCTACCTCTATGAAAAAGAAAGCACAAAGATGTTATTAAGGACAATGCTAAGGCTCGTAGCCATCTGGCAAACACACTGATGGTGATTGCTTCAGAAAAGGCCTCCATGCTCAGTCTTGAAGATAGGCAGTTGTGCTGTTTTGTCGACTTTTCTGAGTCTCAACTTGTATTTCTATAAAGAATATAGGTAGTTATTTCTATTTTTCCAATGGGAAAACTAAAATAAGTAACTTGTTGAAAGTCACACAGAAAATGGCAGAGTTAAAAGTCAAACATCTTTGTAGACCATTCTCTTTGTAAAGTTGTTTTTGAAGATATATGCATTGTAGACCCTTTGAAGACTAAGTTATCTTAGTTTTTCAGCTAGCTTAGCTTCTTGACCATGTGTCTGAAATTACTATACCCTCTGTTATCAAAAATGTAAGTCACTTTTCTCTTTCTCACCCTCATCAATCAGCAGAGAACTGTAACTTTAAAACTGGACTAGTAGTACTTCTTGCTTGGGCCTTTTGCTGTATTAATAAGCCCTAATATGTAAGGGCCTGCTCAAGATTACATATTCTTCTTTTGGTAAAGAGACACAAATTATGAATCTGCCAAATTTGAAGAAGTTGAATATGGAAACAGATTTCTTTGTAGGGTTGCATGAGTCATTTCTGCAGAAATGCTCATCTGCTAGGTGTACTTGGTGCACACTGAGTCTGAGGCAAGAGGGCCAAGAATTTTGTTGAAGACCTTAATTTTTTTCCATTTGTGCAGATCTTTATTACAGAAACTAATAAAGTATTCTCTAAGTATTTTCTTGAGTTATGTAAAGTAAGGCCTTTTCTGGGAACAAAAAAAGCTTAGAGTCCTTTATAAAGCAAATGTGTATGATGTCAGGTAGGAGTTATCTTTCGTTTCATGTTTTCTCTGTAGTATCAAATATAGGAAAGAGACGAGGACATTTAAACAAAACTAATTATGCTGTGCTGATAAAAGGCAATTATTTTAGCTGTATATCTTACTTTCTTTTAAAAATCATACCTCTGACTCCTATTTGATCTTAGTCCCGTAAAATCAAAACACTAAAATATTGTTTAAAAACAAAACTGAGGGGCTAGAGAGATGTCTCAGCAGTTAAGATCACTAGCTGCTTTTCCAGATATCCTGGGTTCAGTTTCCAGTGACTACATGATGGCTCACAACCGTCTACAATGATGACAGAGCACTCAAATACATAAATATATTTTTAAAAACTAAAATAAGCTAGGCGTAGTGGCTCACGCCGTTAATCTCAGCACATGGGGGGCAGAAGTAGGTGGATCTCTGTGAGTTTGAGGCCAGCCTGATCTACAAAGTGAGTCCAGGACATGCAAGGCTACACAGAGAAACCCTGTCTCTAAAAAAAGCAAAACGGAAACACTATTTGTTGAGGAACTCATAGGAGATCCTATGAGTCTTGTTGGGATCCTCATCATTAAAAGACCTAGATATTTCTCTTCACTGGAAGATAAGGTTTTCTTCCTTGAACTTCCTCATTTTTATTTTGATATTTCAGATATGTGAGTTTCATGTGTATTTTTTATTTAACCAGTAATAATACCTGTTAGCATGTTGACATAGTTTTCTTTTGGAATTCTCTAAAACAATTCAAAAACAAAGGGTTGCCACTATTCCATATATCACTCGATTCTTTTTATTTTATTTTCTAGGAAATAACAGTCCAACAGCTAATGGCCCATTTGGATTCCATCAGAAAAGACATGGTCATCCTAGAGAAAAGTGAATTTGCAAATCTGAGAGCAGAGAATGAGGTGATAGAATTTTTAACTTCTAGCAATTAAAAAGTAATTGATTTCACAAGTATGCTACTTAGTAAATAACTTAGTAAAACCAAATATTATTATGCATTACAAATTTTTAGATTAAAAAATTCTCTGCTTAGAGCTGGGCATGGTGACACACATCTTTTTTTAATTAGTTTTTTTTTCTTATAATTTATGCACTTTATGTCCCGATTGTAGCCCGCTTCCTTGTCTCCTCCCAGTGCTACCCTACTTTGCTCCCCTATTTCTCAGAAAAGGGAGCCCTTTAATCTCAGCCTTAGAAGGCAGAGGAAGGGGAATCTCTGTGTGGTTGAGGCCAGCCTGGTCTGTAACACATTCCAGGCCAGCTAAGGCTATAAAGTGAGATCCTGTCTGAAAAACTAAAAACAAAATTCACTGTTTGAAAGGTTAAATTAGATAACCTAATCTTTATCTGTAGACCAATTTTTTTAATATGGGTTCGTAATGTAGGTTTTTTATGTAAAAATCATAGAAAAGGAGAAAAAATTGAGCTCCAGTATTACATAAATTTTCTAGTATAGCCTGTCATATATTTTTTAAAACAGAAAGTACTGTGATGTTTCCATCTTATTTAATGCTGTATTGTCCTTGTAACTGAGAAAAAATATACTTAAAAATATTTATTATTTTGAAATCCTGCTTATATGTGAGTGGCTATATGGGTACAGGTTCCAGAAGAAGGCATCAGATCCCATGGAGCCGGAGTAACAGGCAGTTGTGAGCAACCTGACTTGGGTGCTAGAAACTAAACTCAGGTCCACTAGAAGAGCAGTAAGCCCTCAACCATTGTGCTATCTCTGTAGACCCCCAGAATATACTTTGTAGTTAAATCAGAAACAGCTTAAAGTTTATGATTTGAAGGTAGAGGGTTGGGGGTGGGGGTGCTGTAGAGAGATACATGCCTTCTGGTAACTGTAGAGGTCAGAAGAAGGTGTCAAATGCCCTGAAACTGGAGTTACAGGCCGCTGGTCCAACTCAGGTCCTCTGGAATAGCAGCAAACAGTCTTAACCACTCAGTCATGTCTCCAGCCCTAGCTTACTTTTAACTTTAAAAAAAGCAAAGCATTTAAAAAGTAGAATCTAACACCAAAACTAAGTGTTTTGTACCTAAAATGAATACAGTGGTCTGTTCTTTACTTATTTAAATCTGTATTTTAAAAAAATCCATAGAGACTAAATTTTGCTAATCTTAACTTTTCAAACTTCTAAAATAATCATAGGGACTTTTGGATTGATGCTAACTGTCACCTCTTTTACACCTAGAAAATGAAAATTGAACTAGATCAAGTTAAGCAGCAGCTGGCTGTAAGTGAAATTTATTCCACTAGTTGCAGAACAGATGTCTATTACAGAATAATTTCTAAAACTACTAATTTTCTTTAAAGCATGAAACCAGTCGAATCAGAGCAGATAATAAATTGGATATCAACCTGGAAAGGAGCAGAGTAACAGACATGGTAATACTGGTTTGTTTGTTTTTTTTAATTTAATTACATTTTGTTTGGTTTTGTGTGTGTGTGTGTGTGTGTGTGTGTGTATAGCCAGTAACATGCTTTTGAAGATTTCTTTTAATTATGTGTAGCTGTAAGTATGTTCTGTGTCCACCTAGGAGCCCAGAGTTGTCAGATCTCCTGGAGCTGGTATTAAATGCAATTATGCACTGCCTGACATGGGTATGGGAAATCAAACTGAGGTCCTTAGGAAAACCAGCAAGTCCTCCTAACTTCTGAGCCAATTTTCCAGACCCTCCAATAATGTGCTTTTAAATTAATTTTCTTTATTATTTATTCCTTTTTCACTGGTTGTTACATCACATGTAGAAGTGAGAGACACCTTTGCAGAGTCAGTTCTCTCATTCACCTGCCTGTGGACCCAGAGATCCAACTCAGGTTGCAGGCTTGTGCAGCTAAGTGTCTTTCCCCAGTCATCTTGCTGTCCTTTTTCCTCTTAACCTCCTGACTTCATATACTTTAGTTCACAGATCAAGAAAAACAACTCATGGAAGCAACCAATGAATTTACCAAAAAGGTAAGGTTAGTATGTAGAAGCTTCTCTTTCATATCTCATGTACTTGTATATGTATCAGCTTGTAAGTTCGGATTTTAAATGCCTAGCCCTATAGAATCTGATTTCTTCACAGCTGTTACAGTTTACCAGCACTTTGGGGGAAGCTGCCCCTAGGAAATGGTAGTACCTGAGCTGAACCTTGGAGTAGGAAATAAAGGTTTCCAGGGCTAGGGAGATGACTGTACGTAGAACACTTACAAAGGGGATCCCGCACCCTCACATAGACCTGCATGCAGGCAAAACACCAGTGCACATGAAATATAAAACAATAAATTAAAAAAAGACATTCTAATCCAAAAGATTCTAATCCAATCATGACATGTAATCCCAGCACTCAAGACTGCCATTAGTCTGAAGGCAGGCTGGGCTACTATGCAATATCTTTTCTCAAAGAACCCAGACTCTTAAACCCAGTACTTAGAATTCCTGTTTACATTCTCAGTAATCTTGTAATATAATCATTAGATGAATAAACCCTAGCTTTCTGATTTTGCCTCATCCTTTTTTTTTTTTAAAGTTCTCTTGTTCAGAATTTAGTAGAAGGAGAGATCACCTGTGCTCTTTCAAGAATCTCTTTTCTTACAATTCTTGGCCAGAGAAAGTAATAAAGAAGGAAATGAGCGAATTCTCTCAGCTAATTTCTGATCTCTGTTCCCTATGCATGCAAAGTTACCTACCAAGGATATGCCAGTTCCTTTTATATTGATCTCCATTCAAATTATAAAGTTGGTTGGGTTTTTTTTGGCAGAATATATTTAAAGTTTAAAGGGTTAATATTCCAAGGACTTGACACACAAAGTGATAGTTCTGGGACTAAATGTTTGCTTTTTATTTTATCATATATAGTTAGGTCGCAAATATTTTAAAAGATTTTTAGTAGACTATCCCAGTATTGAATGATTCAAGGAAATTATCTCCAGATATGAAGGAGGAATGTTTTCTTTTGTCACTTCGTAGTATTCATTTACTATTAAGACATGTTTTTAAATACACCATTAGCACACAATTGAAGGTTTCAATGTAAATGTTTTTGTACATAATACATAGGGACAAAATTTAATTCTCTGCTTATTCTTATTTGCTACAGGATACACAAACCAGAAGTAGTATTTCAGAGACCAGTAATAAAATTGACACGGAAATTGCTTCCTTAAAAACATTGATGGAGTCGAGCAAGCTTGAGACGGTTCGTTATCTTGCAGGTAAATCTGTCAGAGAAAGGAATTGCTGACGGTGAATTTTTCGATCTTTTGGCTCCTACCTCTCAGGATAACCATGCCAGAACAGAGAATAAAATGAAACTAAAATATTCCTTTATTGCTTGGTACTCTGTTTTCCTTAAAGAAGGTTCCAGTTTCAAGATTAAACTTTATCAGGCAACTGTGCAATTCACTGATAGAAAAAGATGTCTGGTTATCAAGAAAATAAAGCCAAAAACAAAATGGTGAAATTAGTTGGGTAAATTCCACAATGAAAATGTTCATTTTATTGTAAAGGTTTGAAAGATCACTAAAGTAGATGTAGGCTGTTAGAAACAGGAAATGCAGGGAGAAGTGGAGGGTAAGGAAACCTCTTCTCTCAAACCGACTGAGGACACAGATACTGTCCCAAAATTAGATTGTCTCATACTGAGCCCCACAAGTTCTGTCTGACCTGAGATTTAATGGCCCCATGTGACAAAAATGCACTTGTCAAGTACTTTTTTCTTCTGTTTTTTTCGAAACAGGGTTTCTCTGTGTAGCCCTGGCTGTCCTGGACTCACTCTGTACCAGGATGGCCTCAAACTCACAGAGATCCACCTGCCTCTGCCTCACAAGTGCTGGGATTAAAGACATGAGCCAATACCGCCTGTCAGCACTTGATAAGTTTTACTTGTCTTTTTACATTTTCATAAAAGCAGTATGTTTTAATTTAAATTACATAAGTCAAGAGCAATGAACATCTCCTCACCTTCTTCATTTACTATTAGTGGTTTATATCTTGTGTTCTATATACAATATATACACTAGTAAAAGAGAATAACCCATTATAGCTAATGCCATGTGTTAAAATTTGACTAAATATATTAAATATATTTTAACATTAATACATGTAGAAACATGTTTTTATTACAAAAGATAGCATTTTGTTGTCGTTGCCCCAGCTGTTTTGCTCAGTTCTTCATCTTTAAAAGCAGTGCTATTCTTAACACATACATGTATACTTCACTAAATATAGATATTTTATACCCTTGTTGCTGTGCACATTTAAATTTTAGGGTTACACTTGGTGTGTTGGTGCATGCCTTTAGTCCCAGCACTTGGGAGCCACAAACAGGTGGATCTCTGAGGTCCAGGAAAGCCCTCTTTTTAATGTGTGTATTAGCAAATTACCATAAAGATAAAATTTCTGATCATAGTGCTTTTCTGGCCAGCCACTATTTGTGATGTGGCAAGTTGAAGATGAATGAGTCTCAGCCCTTAACTAATGTATACCCCCCCCCTTACTTTTTAACTGTAAGGGCTCTGTTTTTATCTCTAACATTAGCTTTCTGCTAAAAATGCAGATTAAAAAATAATCTAAAGTGAGGTTTTGAAAGCCCCTACTCTAACAAAGACTATAGAACCAAAGGGCTTGAACTTAACTGTAACGCCAAGGGAAATTCTAAAACAGCCATTTGGAATGTTCATTCTCTTCTAAAATCAGTCTCACAAAGGAATGATTTGAGATTCTACCTGGTATTTCCCAGTATTCTTCTTCTGAGTATAGACTTAAGAATACCATAGTTAAACCAGGCATAGTGGCACATGCCTATAATCCCAGCAGAGGCAGGCAAATCTCTGTGAGTTCAAGGCCAGCCTGGTCTAGAGTACCAGGATAGCCAGGGCTACACAGAGAAACCTTGTCTTGGGGTTGGGGGAACCACAAAGTTGAAGATGGTGACATTTTCCAGAAAGCTTAATTCAGCAGTTTAGATATACAAGGCAAATCTAATAGGCTTAGTGGTAGTAGCACAAGAAATAAGCAGATTAGCAATTGTTTTTAAAAAGACTTTCCTGGGCTTAGAGAGGAGGCTCATTGGCTAAGAGCACTGGTTGTTCTTATACCAGGACTTGATTCCCAGCACCCACATGGCTACTCACAGCCATCTCTAATTCCAGTCCCAGGGGATCCAGTACCTTCTTCTGGCCTCCACGGACACCTGGCATACACACTGACATAAATGTAGGTAAAACACCCATACACATTAAAATAAATATTTTTTTACTGAGTGTTTGGAACCAGTAATCCTAAGGCATCTTCCTCCTTTTTTAAGTATATTTTAGTACTGTTGTTACTGGTGAGCAGTTTAGGAAGCTAGCGTTACACATTTTAAACAAGTAGGATAAAACATGAGTGGATCTATTTGTCCTAGAATACCTGAGATGTTGCTAATAAGACAATAAGGTCCCCTTTATTGAAGATTCACGAACACCAGGCATGGTAGGATTTGGCTGTCAATTTGCCCAAAACTTGTAGGATTAGCCTCCCAAGTATCTGACGTATGGGATACATGCCCTCTGTGTCCAGAAACCTCAACTGAGAAAATGCCTCCATAACGTTGGCCCATAGGCAGTGCTGTGGGGAGTTTCCTTAATGACTGTTGTGAGAGGACTCAGCCCACTGTGGGCGATACACCTCTGGATAGGCTGAAGCAGGCTGAGGAAGCAGTCAGCAACACTGGGTTTTGCTTCAGTATCTGTCTCTGGGTTCTAATCTTGACTTCTTTCCCTGACTTCCCTCAGTGATATAGAGCGTGACCTGAGAGTTGTTAAACCTTTTCTTCCCCAGGCTGCTTTGGTCACGGTGTTTAGCACAGCTGTAGAAACCCTGGGACACGGTGTTTGAAATACTGCTTACATTTTCTAACATGACACCTGTATTTTTAAATTATTTTCATTTTTACTCTTTAAAATACAGGAAGCTATTGATGTAAATCTTGCCTTTACCAGATGTCTTTTATCCTTAGTTTAATTTTCTGGGAAATAAAGAACATGGGATATAAATTGATTTTCTTTCTTTTTGTTCATTTAATTATTCTTTTACTGCCTGAAATTAAACTATAACTTGTAACCTAGTTTCTTTCTTTTCACAGCCTCGGTGTTTACTTGCTTGGCAATTGCGTTGGGGTTTTATAGGTTCTGGAAGGAGAACTGACTTTGTTGCTGCTGATCACTGTATAAATTATACTTACTACAAATTCTTCAAAAATACGTATGGACTAAATAGAAGTGTTTTGGTATTTTATTTTTATGTTGTATGTCTTTATTATGTTGAAAAGCTGTCACTCAAAGCCTCATTTGAAATAGAAGAGTATTTTGTCCTTACCTTTTTGATAGCTGTAGCAACAAAAACAGTTTTGCATTTGAGCTTTGTAAATGAAGTAGGATTTGTTATCAGGCTGCATACTTGAAAACAATTCCGTAATCTATGTACTTACTGGATTTCACTTTCTTGGTTATTATTGCAGTTAGATTTTTATATTAAATAAAATAGTATTAACAAAATTGGTTGAATTTTCAAAATGACTTCCTGTATAAGTGGAGATTTTTTTTTTAATAGATCTTGCCTCCGGTTTATTTATAAAAACAGCATAGGACACTGGTCATCTGTAGAGTGTATAGGTAGGTGTGTCACACCAGTCCATCTGTCTGGCCAGAAGCCTTCACAGGATCCTGGGCACCTTTGGGAGCCTGAGTCTGACCTTGGGCCTCAGATGGAGCTGTAGCCTCTGCCTTGGCCAGAAACCTTTGAATCCACTTCCCAAGCTTTGGTTAAGCAATGAAAGCCAGACAGCTGAGTTTGTGTCGGGGCTATCTGGCATCTTAGGTTTTCCGGCCATAGGCTTTGATGTCCTCTGCTCCAACACTCATTGCCTTGGTGTTGTTTGCCTGCATCTTCTTCAGGCCTTTCTTGTGCTTCTTGGCAAAGCGCATGTTCCTCAGGAACTTGAGGTCAACCACCGTAAGAGATTTGTGTCTTTGTGACCAGGGTTTCTTGATGCCATTTCTGAGCCATTTGCGGGACTGGTTGAAGGTGGTGTGGTTCTTGGACTTGGCCATGTCTGCACAGTAACCTGCGGCTGCCACAGCATCTGGGACCGGAAGAGCGGAGGGTTTTTCTTGTTGTTGTTTTCTTTTGTTTATAGTGAATAAATTTTAAAATAATATGTATCCCATTGCAAATATTTGTACTTAATATGAAATCTGTAGAGGTATTCGGATTATTACCTGTATCTTTTAAATTTTTCATATATATAGCAATTTGAGGGGTGGGTCTTTATGGTTTGTTTTTTTTCTTTGTTTGTTTGTTTGTTTTTGCTACTCTCAGGGATTGAACCTAAGACTTACTGAGTGTTGACTGATTAAGTCTTCTACCAACCACCCAATGTTCCCCAGCACTTACCCTCACCTCTTAAACTACTTCACATTTAACCCATCTTAGATTTATTATATGAAACGGAATTTCTCAATAATTCATTTAAATTTAGCAAACATCTTGATATATATGTTGTATATCTGTATGTATGCATGCATGTGTTTGTGTATATGTATGTATGTATGTATGTATGACCATCTCAAAAAGAGTTAAGGATTGGAACCTCCCAGAACCAAAAAGAAAAAAAAAAAGAAATTCAAATATGTATTGTTTTCCTTCTGTTATCTAGTTATCTACATTTTTTAATTTCTGTTTGTATGTATGTAAACATGTACATGTGTATTCATATGGAAGCCAAACAACTTTGGGTATCTTACTCATTCTGGTTTATGGGGGGGGGTCTTTCTCTGTGTTTGCTGTTCTGGACTTACTGTAGACCAGGCTGGCCTCGAACTCACAGAGATCCACCTGCCTCTGCCTTCCAAGAGCTGGGATTAAAATTGTACGCCACCATAGCTGTACCTTACTTTTCTGAGACAGGATCTTTCCTCCCTCTCCACTCCTCTTTCTCTTTCTCCCTCCCTCCTCTCGTCCTTCCTTCCCTTTTTTCCTTCTCTCCCTTCCTCCACTCTTTTCCCCTTTCCTCCTCCCCCTACACACTCCCCAAACTTGGGGCTTACTATTTCAACTAAACTGGCAGGCCTCAGGAATCCATCTGTTTCTGTCCCCCAGAGTGGGATTACAGACACAGGCTGTGTGCCCAGGTTTTACAAGCACGTTTCCAGCTGGTCTACATCCCCATACATCTATAATCCATCCATGGCATTTTTAACACTTGCTTATATGCTTCTGACTAGCTTGATCTGATCTTGGGACCAACAAATCCTGCTGATGCTTGCTAGATTAAAATAGCCATCACATACCTTGCTGGCTCACTATAGGAATAAAGAGAAATAGAATGGAACCACAGAACTAAATCAGAACCACAGCGGCTTTTTGGTCAACAAAGGTCAAAGTCTAAATTCAAGGGATTATGGGGAAAGGAGAAAACAATTAAGTCATGTGCTTTGGTCTTGCTGAGCCTGCCCTTAACTATATTCCCATAGAGCTTACAACAGAGTAAGGATGGAATTATGAACCAGATTATTTAAGTGGGGTTTCTTAGCAAAGGTGTAACACGCTTTTTGTAAGAGTAGATTTTCATTCATGTAAAGCTTTTGAGACGTTTTGTAGTTGTAAAGCTGTACTGTTTGAAAACTTACTACTTTTTTCTTCCTTTCAAGTAAAGATGCTTTGGAAAAGTTGGAAGTCATTTGAATAAATGTTTTGTCAGGGTGGGTGAGTATCTGCGCAGACATGCGTGCATATCTTGAAACAGTCACTGTGAAGCCCAGTTGCCCACAAATTCATAATATTCTTTCCCTAGTTTCCTAAGTGCTGGATTTAGAGGTATGCTCCGTAATACCTAGCAAAGAACAAAACTCTTAAAATAATATGCACATTAGTAGTAATACATAGCACTTTATAGACTGTAAAAGAAATACAACTTTATTATGAAGCTATAGTGTCATTTTAATAATTTTTATTATCTAGAAATGGATTTCCTTTGATATTAAATTATACCATCTTTTATTTCACAGCTTTTGTGAATGCTTACAAAATTATTACTCATAAATGTTGGCTTGCATATATTTATATAAAAAGTATCCTGAGTCCATGGAATTTTACAAGCATCTTTAATATAATATTTTCACCTTCAGAACAGAAGAATTTCCGTCGATCTGAAGTGAAAGAAAATTTAGGTGTTTATTTAACCTTACTGCGCTGATTAGTACCTTCTGAAAAGCAAGCCCCCAGGAGACACTTTTTTTTTCACTGGCTGCTTCTCTTTGCTGGACTCAAAAGAGTCATCTTCCTATAAACAAAGAAAAAGAAAATTAAATAAAAGCTCCATGCTAACATTCTTCTACAGTGTATAAAAAGGAAGAAGAGAGCCACACTAAGTGTTGTCTACTCTGACTGAATGTCCTTTAGGATTCTGTATAACTATATTTCTAGGTCTGAAGTACTAGCACTTCCTGTTGTGCTGAGTCAGCAAGACTGGAGACCGTGGAAAGCCAGTCAGTGCTGACTATACTTAATAGAGACCTCAAAGGGAACAACTTATCATCCCTGTTTTATCTTTACTAACTTTCCATGGCATAACTGCAATGTAGAAGTGTGCTAATAGAACTTCATTTGGAATCTTTAAGAGCCCAGGGCTAGGATTTATATTTCTTCTCCATTCACAAGTTTTGGTTGTAGTTTATAACTTTTGTTTCATTTTCCACTTTGCTCATTCTCCACTGTTCGTGAATCTTTATCACCATCTTGGTACTCACATGACCTAACACAGAAGAATCAATAAATGCTATAGGAAGGAGTAAGCACAACAGATGTTCATTAGTTGTTAGTCATTGTTGAATAATTCTAGTCAAAAATGCTGTGCATACCACTTGCCCCAAGGCATACTACATGTTATGGAGTAATTGGCCAACATTAGACAGACTCCATGTTTTTATTTTGTCTTGTCTCTTGGAGTGGAGGGTGTGCATGTGTGCACTTGAAGTTTGGTTTGGTTTGGTTTGGGGTTAAGTTTTTTCTTAAGAAAGAAAAATTATGAAGTGTGGTGGGCATCTGGGAAGAGTTGAGGGGTGGGCAGGAATATGACCAAGATATACTGTACCAATTTTTTAAAATAATTTTTGTAAAAGAAAATGTGCTATTTAGGTGAGAAATGTGTACACAGATATTCCCAAAGCAGCCTTTCCAGCACATGTCCTCGGGGAGAGCTTGTGGCTAAGAGTTACTTCTGAAAGTATTCCTGCCCATGCCATTGCTAATGTGCTAAAGAGTTAACTCCTGTATACTAGCATGTAAACATGGAAGTTGCTACTCTCCAATACAACCTGAAAAAACAAGGCCATGTCTCCATACCCTTCCATCTGATCATTATCTGAAACTAGCTTGGAATCATTCAAGTTCTTTTTATGTTGTTGTTGTTGTTTGTTTTTTGAAACTGTTTCTCTGTGTAGCCTTGGCTATCCTTGTCCTGACTGACTTTGTGGACCAGACTGGCCTCAAACTCACAGAGATCCACCTGCCTCTGCCTCCCTGAGTGTGATTGCAGGTGTGTGCAACCCTGCAGCTATCATTCAAGTTCTTAAGGAGAAGCTACTGTAACTTTACAAACTATTTTATCTGGCACTAGGTTTCACAATTTGTAATATGAAATAGTGCATGCAAAAAAAAAAAAAAAAGCCATGACATTAGCTCATACATTATTAAGTAATACCTATTATTGATAATGACCAAGATCTCACAAAGTATGTTAAATGTTCTCATGAACCTTAAAATTTCAGTACTGTGGGTAAGGTATTCAACCATACTAAAAAAGTGACACTCCTTCAGTGCTTTATGGAGAGAGTATCTGTGATTAGGAGCCTTGGGACAGCAGTAATAGGTAACTCCTAGGGCTTATGGGGCAGATTTGATAGGGGACCTTAAGAGAGAAAAACAAAATGAACAAAGGCTTGGTACTTGAAAAGTGTGTACTACGTTCAAAAAAGATAACCTGCATAAGAATTGACAAATGAAGGGCTGAAAGGGTATGTTAAAGCTGAACCCAAATTGAGGAATCCACTTCATTCAGGCAAGATTTTCAGAACAAGACATGATAGGAAACCAAGCTGACTATTTACTCAAGTGAATCTGGATAGGGAAGGACTTGATACCTAAATTCTGTGCTGAGAGTCCACAGTTTATGAAAGGAGAAAGAACTGTAGGGAAAGAATAATCCAAAATTGGCCAGCATAGTGGTGTACACCTTTACTCCTTCATCCCAGCATCTGGAACTCTGGGGCTAGCCTGAGCCACACAGTGAATTCTGGGCCAGCCAGGGTTACATAGAGGGACCCTGTCTCAAAAAAAAAAAAAAAAAAAAAAAAAAAGAATGGTGCATGACTTTAATCCCAGCACTTAGTAGGCAGAGGCAGGTGGATCTCTTTGAGTTCAAGACCAGCCTGTTCTATACAGTAAAGTCTAGGAAAGCCAGGGTTACACAGAAAAACTGTCTTAAGAAAAAGAAAGGAGGGGAGGGAGTGAAGGAGGAAGGGAGGGAGGGAAGAAGGAAGAAAGGGAAGGAAGGAAGGAGAAAGAAAAAGGTCAATCGATCTGGGGTGAAAATCTTATCTTGTTAAATTTGGTTTTAGACATTTTTAACTTAGACACTAGTGGAAATCTCAAAGAAATGTTTAGCTATCGGTCAGAACAGAAAGGGAGCCCTAGTGAGAGTAACACTAACATACATGTGTTAGAGTCTGTACAGAAACAGAGACATGATCAGAAGAAAGAGGGTCTCAATTTATTCCTGCTTCACACTATCAAACAAGCCACCCAACATAGCTTGACCTGGTAGCACATACCAGCAGTCACAACACAAGGGAGACTGAGGCAGGGGATTGTAAATGAGACCAGCCTGGGCTACCAAGTGCATTTTAGGTCTGTGATATATCATAAGACCCTGTCTCAAAAAAAAAAAAAATAAAAAAAAAAAAAATAAATAAAAAGGGAGGAAAGGAAGAAAAACACATACATACAAGTATTTGTAGATAAATGGAAAATTTGCTGCATCTCATGGTGTACTAAACTGTTAGCAGTAGCTTCATCTGGAGAGTGGAATTTGGTGTAAGGAAGAACATCTCTCTGGTTTTAACAACTTTCAAGCAACTCTACTATGTTACATTCTCTGAAGTGATTAAGAGACTAACAATTGGTTTGCATAAAGTTAAAGGCCAGGATGTTTTGTTACAGATTAGACAAGGTGGTAGGGATATGAAACAATTCATTCATGTTGACTGGAGGAAAAAACTAAAGGATGAAATGTTTCTCAGTCCCCATAAGACAGGATAAGCTGTCCCCAAGGCCTCATCACAGTGTTGTTTTTTTGAAATAGGGTTTCTCTGTGTAGGAACTTGCTTTGTATACGAGGCTGGCCTTGAACTCAGAGATCTGTCTGCCTCTGCCTCCTGAGGGCTGGGATTAAAGGTGTGCACCACCACACAGTGCCTTTTCTTGCAGAGGAGTGGGAATCAAAGCCCAGTCTACTGAGTCTGGATGGCTGCAAGTTCCCTGCTGACAGAGAAACTGCTTTTCTATCCTCGTTCTGTTTCCTGTTTCTCGTGTTCCTTCAGGTGTTGTTGATCTGGATATTTGTGGGGAGAGTGTTTCTTCTCTCTAAAACTGACATTGAGCGGAATCACTGTTTATATTCTTGACCCTTTGATCTTAGCCTTTTTTTTTTAAATAACAAAAGTTCGTATTTGAAACTCAAAATACAGCCCCAGAAAGTAGAAAAATGCTTATTCACAGTGGCAAAGAGTGTCAAATTCACAATCTTGATGTCAGCTTTAGAACACAGTTAGTTCTAGTTTGCAATACAACTTCAAAAGGCCAAAGGCTTACCCACATCAAAGAATATTATTGGCAGGACTCAAATTCAGCACCAACTCAGAGCTTACAATCTTAGCCATTTCTATATACCACTTATCAAGAAAAATAAATATGTAAAGACACCAACCATAGCCACAACACTGGGGACCTGAATTTTCTCCAGTGTTTCCTTGAGTTGATCCACTTCTGCTCGATATTCATCCATTTGACACTCTAACTTTTCCCTGCGGAGTCGCTCATAGGCCAGCTGGCCCTGCAGGTCTTTGATGGTCCTATGAAAAAATGTTTTCTCAGTAAATTCTGATTTATCTAACAACTTTTTTTTTTTTTTTGAGATACGGTTTCTCTGTTTAGCCTTGACTGCCCTGGACTCACTTTGTAGACCAGGCTCACCTCGAACTCACAGTGATCCACCTGCCTCTGCCTCCTTGAGTGCTGGGATTATTGGCATGCACTACCGCACCAGGTTTCCAAAAACCATTTTTGCTAACAGCGGAAAGCATTCATACTTTAAAGCAAATAAAATAAGTCATGTATTTTTCAACTGTATTTAGGATCTTATATGAACCAGGAGTGATTTACATACCAGAGACAAGCAGTGACCATGAAATAAATAAGCAAAATACATGGTATCCTGGAAGGTAACAGGTACTAAGAGAGGGGAAAAATAAAGCAGGATCAGTAATATAAAATGTGGAGCAGGTGATTAACACTTCTGTGCTAGTTTGTCAACTTGAAACAAGCTGGAGTCATGTAGGAAAGAGGGAACCCCAACTGGGAAATTCCCTCCATCTGACTAACCTGAAGGCTTGTCTGTGGAACATTTTCTTAATTAAAATGATGTGGAAAGGCCCAGCAAGGCCCACCAGGGCAGTTGGCCCTTAAGAATATAAGAAACAGACTGAGCAACCTTTGAGGTCCAAGCCAAAATCAGCAGCTTCAGTTCCTGCCTCCAGGTTCTAGCCTTGAGTTCCTGCCCTGACTTCTCTTTAAAGACAGACTTTAACTTGGAAGTATAAGCCAAATAAACACTTGCCTCCCAAAAGCTAGTTTTGGTCAATGTTTCATCACAACAACAAAAAGGAAACTAGGTCAGAAACTGGTACCAGAGAGTAACCTACTGCTGTGACAGACCCAGCCATGTGATTTTGGGGAGAATTGTGGAAGCTTTTGAAATTTTGTGCTCCAAGTGATAATAACTTAATGAACTGTTATGGGATCTTGCTTGGAAGTAAGAATTCTGAAGAGATATAAGCTGATTTGTAAACTTTCTGAAAGAAGTAGAGACTACCAGGGCCATTCCTGTGACAAATTTGAGTCAAGATTCTTTGGAAGCAAAGCCTGTGCTTCCCTGCAACAATAACAGGTGCTAGTTAGCTGGGGCTGAAGAATCAGCTGGCATTAACCAGAGGCCAGCACTACTGAAGGGAATTTGCTTTTGGGGGCTAATAAATACTGGTTAATGCCGTTCCAAAATCAGCTGTTATTAACAATAAATCAGAATTATTGAGTTGAAATTTCCTGGCAAGTATTCCCTCAGAGTCAGCACAGCCTGTATGGTCCACTAGGTGATTCAAAGCTGCATCTTAAAAGATGAAGTCAGGCATAGTGGTGCATACCTTTAATCCCAACACTTGGGAGGCAGAGGTAGGTGGATCTCTATGAAGCCAGGCTGGTCTACAAAGCAAGTCCAGAATAGACAAGGCTACACAGAGAAATCCTGTCTCAAACACACACACACACACACACACACACACACACACACACACACACACAAACTAAAAGACAAACTTGGTAATATGTAAGAATCCCCCAGGTTCTAGACATATGGCATAAGCCTTTAATCCAAGCATGCAGGAGACAAAGGCAGACAAATCTCTGTGGACTGAGGCCAGCTTGGACTACACAGTGAATTCTGAACTGCCAAAGCTACATAGTAAAATCCTTTTTTGTTTGCTTATTTGTTTGTTTGTTTTTAAATAAGGATTTCTATATAAAGTCTTGTTTGTCCTATAACTATGTATACTAGGCTGACCTCAAAATTAGAGATATGCCTCGCAAGCACTGAGATTAAAGGCAGGTACCACCATGGCCAGAAAAAAAGAAAAGAAACACTCATGTTGGTATAATGTTCTTTTGAAATGTATACACCTTACCCTTGTTTATTCAAATGCTGATTTCTCTCCCCCACTCTCTGGTTACAATCCGGACATTGCATTATGATACTTTTTCAAAGCATCACCTGTCTCAACTTTGTGTAAACATGCCAAAATAAAACAACCAGCCACAATGTTGAGCAATAGAGAGGAAGGAGTAGGCAAGAGGGGGGGGAGGAGCCAGAGGACAGGAAAGAGTGGGAGACTAAGGGCAGGAGAGGCTGGGAGAGCAGAGGCAGGAGCAGAGGTCTTGGAATGCATGGAGAATGAACCGGACCTAAGATTTCACAAAAAGCAAGTATAATGGGTGAATCTAAATGTTAGGAAACTATGAGGGCTTGGAGGTTTAGGAAGGAGTAACTATTGCCCAGCATTGTGTTCTAGGTTAACTAAATAAACCCAGTGTCTGTGTGTGGTGAGTTGGGTATACAGCTGTTTAGGACTAACAGCAGCATTACTAAAAGATAATTAATAGTAAATATTAGCACAATACAACACACTCACATGGAATTCATAGATACCTAAATACAAAGCATTGGTTTTAAGGACATTACTTCTCAGACTCCAGTTGTTCTTTCTGCTGGTTTAGATCCTCTTCTATTATCCCACCTAACTGTTTGAAGTTGTTCACAGCAATTTCCAGAAGCTTTCTCAATTCTACAATTTTCTTATGAGCTCTCACTGAAAAATAGTTGAATAAGAACATAGTTAGATGACAACACATATGCTTACAAGATGATGATTCTCTTTCAACATTTGCTTCTTTTGCTTTTACAAAAGGTTTTTTTTTTTAAGTATTTATTAATTTTATTTGTTGGGTGTTTTGCCTGCATGTGTGTCTGGTGCCTGTGGAGGTCAGAAGGCATTAGATCCCCTGGAACTGAGTAAGATGGTTGTAAACCATCATGTGGGTGCTGGGAATCAGACCCAGGTCCTCTGCAAGAGCAAAAAGTGCTCTTAACCACTGAGTCATCTCTCCAGCCCATTTGCTTCTTCTTTAACAGAACCATTGCCTGCTGCTTATGTAAGAAATTGATGGGAGTGTGATATATAGTTAGAATGGAAAATATCAGTAATGCAAGCAATGAAATACCTACTTGGGAGAGTCTTCATCTGTTATTAGAATCATATAATTATATAATTACATCATATATTATATAATTGCATCATATAATTACAATGCTGACATTACAGGTGAAATGGCTTAAACAAGACTGGCTGTGTTTTAAGATGAGAAGCACCAGACCATATCTTTTTTTTTTCTCAATATATTTTATTTTTAAAATTAGTTTATCCACTTTGTATCACAACTGTGGGCCCCTCCCTTGTCCCCTCCCAATTCCACCCTCCCTTCCTCTTCCTCTCCTATGCCCCTCCCCCAGTCCACTGACAGGGGAGGTCCTCCTCCCCCTCCATCTGACCCCAGTCTAGCAGGTCTCATGAGGAATGACTGCATTGTCTTCCTCTGTGGCCTGGAAAGGCTGCTCCCCCTCAGGGGGAGGTGATCAAAGAGCTAGCCACTGAGTTCATGTCATAGACAGTCCCTGCTCCCATCAGTAGGGAACCCACTTGGAGACTGAGCTGCCATGGGCTACATCTGAGCAGGGGCTCTAGGGCTCTATCTCCATGCATGGTCCTTGGTTGGAGTTATCAGTCTCAGAAAAGACCCCTGTGCCCAGGTTTTTTGGTTCTGTTGCTCTCCTTGTGGAGCTCTTGTCCCCTCCAGGTCTTTCCATCTCCCCTTCTTTCCTAAGATTCCCTGCATTCTGCTCAAAGTTTGGCTATGAGTCTCAGCATCTGCTTTGATACCCTGTTGCGTAGTCATTCAGAGGCCCTCTGTGGTAGGCTCCTGACATGTTCCCTGTTTTCTCCCTTTTCCGATGTCCATCCGTTTGCCTTTCTGAATGAGAAATGATCATCTTACCCAGGATCCTCCTCCTTGCTTAGCTTCTTTAGGTGTACAGATTTTAGTATGTTTATCCTATAATTATATGTCTAGTATCTACTTATAGGTGAGTATATACCACATGTGTTTTTCTGCTTCTGGGATACCTCATTCAGGATGATCTTTTCTACATCCCACCATTTGCCTGCAAATTTCATGATTTCCTTGTTTTTAATTGCCAAGTAGTATTCCATTGTATAAATGTCCCACAATTTCTGTATCCATTCCTCAGTTGAGGGACATCCGGCTGTTTCCAGATTCTGGCTATTACAAATAAAGCTGCTACAAGCATACTTCAGCAAATGTCCTTATTATATACTTGAGCATGTTTTGGATATATGCCTAGGAGTGGTATAGCTGGATCTTGAGGAAGCACTATGCCTAATTATCTAAGAAAGCACCAGCTTGATTTTCAAAGTGGTGGTACAAGGTTACATTCCCACCAGTAATGGAGGAGGGTTCCCCTTTCTCCACAACCTCTCCAGCATGTGTTCTGGCTTGAGTTTTTGATCTTAGCCATTCTGATAAGTGTGAGGTGAAATCTCATGGTTGTTTTGATTTGCATTCCGCTGATGACTAAGGATGTTGAGCATTAAGTGTTTCTCTGCCATTCGATATTTCTCTAATGAGAATTCTCTGTTTAGCTCTGTCCCCATTTTTTAAATTGGATTACTTGATTTGTTGGTGTTTAACTTCTTGAGTTCTTTATATATTCTGGATATTAGCCCTCTGTCATGTATAGGGTTGGTGAAGATCCTTTCCCAGTCTGTAGATTGTCATTTTGTTCTGATGACAGTGTTTTTTGCCTTACAGAAGCTTTTCAATTTTAAGAGGTCCCATTTATTAAATGTTGATCTTAGAGCCTTTGCTACTGGTATTCTGTTCAGGAAGTTGTCTCCTGTGCCAGTGAGGATCCAGATCCAAGAGGATCCAAAGCCTCTGGCCTTCAAGGGTACCTATTCTCTCTCTCTCTCTCTCTCTCTCTCCACACACATACACACACGAAAATAAAAAAATAATTATTTTTGAAAGAAAATTATAAATGCTTTAATGGTTTTTAAAAATAAGAAAACAGCCAGGCACAGTGGTACACGCCTATAATCCCAACACTCTGGGAGGCAGTGGTCTACAGTGCCAGCCTGGTCTACAGAGTGAGTCCACCATGGCTAAGGCTACAAATAGAAAAACCCTGTCTTGAAAAAATATCAGTCCAAAAGCATGGAGAAATGATTTATGTGTTTCCCAATGTAACCCTGGCACTTCACACTGCCTGACACATAAACAATATTCAGTAAGCACGTGATGGATGATCAAAGAGAAATCACTGAGGAAGCACAGTTACAGAAACATCTTGTAGTACTATCTTGAGTTCAGAATATTTCTAAATGCCAAAATATAGAACTGTATCTGGCATACTACCATAGTCCTGAGCCAAAGCTATGAACACAGTACAGACAAAATGGATAAATGGCATGCCTCCCTAATCTATTTCGCATATCTAAATCTATTCATTCACGAAAAAGCCCAAACCCCACTTTTCCAAGGGTTTGCTTGCTACTCTCTCCTGAGTGAATAATCCCTTTAAACCTGGCATAGAAACAGAAAGGAGGATCAATGGAACCGAATAGAACATCAAAAAATAAACCCACACACCTATGAATACTTGATTTTTGACAAAGCACCCAAATCCATTCAATGGAAAAAAGACAGCATCTTCAACAAATTGTGCTGGTCCAACTGGATGTCTACATGCAGAAAAATGAAAATAGATTCATATTTATCACCCTGCACAAAACTAAAGTCCAAGTGGACCAAAGACCTCAACATTAAACCAGATACTCTAACTCAGTTAGAAAAAATGTGGGGAACAGCCTAGAACTCATTGACACAGGAGACAACTTCCTGAACAGAACACCAACAGCACAGGCTCTAAGAGCAACAATCAATAAATGGGACCTCATGAAGCTGAAAAGCTTCTGTTAAGCAAAGGACACCATCATCAAAACAAAACGACTGCCTACAGATTGGGAAAAAATCTTCACCAACCCTTTATCTGACAGAGGGCTAATATCCAGTATATATAAAGAACTAAAGAAGCTGAAAAGCAACAAACCAAGTAATCCAATTAAAAAATGGGGAACAGAGCTAAACAGAGAATTCTTGATAGAGGAATATCGAATGGCAGAGAAACACTTAAAGAAATGCTCAACCTCATTCACCATTAGGGAAATGCAAATCAAAACGACCCTGAGATTTCACCTTACACCCATCAGAATGGCCAAGATGAAAAACTCAAGGGACAACACATGCTGGAGAGGTTGTGGAGAAAGGGGAACCCTCCTCCGTTGCTGGTGGGAATGTAAACTGATACAACCACTTTGGAAGTCAATCTGGCGCTTACTCAGACAATTAGGAATAGTGCTTCCTCAAGACCCAGCTATACCACTGCTAGGTATATACCCAAAATTTGCTCAAGTACACAACAAGGACATTTGGTCAACCATGTTTGTAGCAGCTTTATTTGTAATAGCCAGAACCTGGAAACAACCCAGATGTCCATCAACGGAGGAATGGGTACAGAAATTGTGGTATTTTTACACAATGAAATACTACTCAGCAATCAAAAATGAGGAAATCATAAAATTTGCAGGCAAATGGTAGGATCTAGAAAAGATCATTCTGAGTGAAGTATCCCAGAAGGAGAAAGACAAACATGGTATATACTCACTAATATAGACCTACAAGATATAATAAACATAATGAAGTCTATACACTTAAAGGAGATAAACAAGAAAGCAGACACGAGGTAAGATGATCAATCCTTACTTAGAAAGACAAATGAGATGTGCATTGGATGTATGACAGGAGTCTACCGCAGAAGGCATCTGAAAGACCCTACCAAGCAGTGTTTCAAAACAGATACTAAGACTCATAACCAAACCTTCGGCAGAAGGGAAGTTAGTATGACAGGGAAAGGATAGGAGCCCCACAAGGACCAAATATATCTGGGCACAGGGTTTTTTTCTGAAACTGTTTCTCCAACCAAGGTCCATGTATGGATATAACCTAGAACCTTTACTCGAACGAAGCTCGTGGTAGCTCAATAACCAATTGGTTTCCCATAGTAAGGGGAACAGGGACTATTTCTGACAGGAACTCAATGGCAGGCTCTTTGATTCCCCACCCCCCAAGGGAGGAGCAGTTCTGCTGGCCACAGAGGAGGACCTTGCAGCCAGCCCTGAAGATACCTGATAAAACAGGGCCAGATGAAAGAGGAGGAGGTCCTCCCCAATCCGTGGACTTGGAAAGGGGCAGGGAGAAGCTGAGGGAGGGTGGGATTGGGAGGGAATAAGCAAGCGGGATACAGCTGGGATACAGAGTTAATAAAATGTAACTAATCATAACAAACAATAAAAAAAAAATAAAACGCATTCTATTGGTTAAAAAAAATAAAAATAAACTCATTACCATTCAGGTATCTATCTATCTATCTATCTATCTATCTATCTATCTATCTATCTATCTATCCATCCAGGCCAAGTACCTAAGAGTCATCCTTCCTACCTTCATCTTCAAATTTCTCACACCCAGATCAACCAGCATGACCCCCTATTAAAAGTGCATCCAAATCTCACCATCTCCATTTCCAATCCAAGCTATCACCAATTCTTTCTCCAATTAAGGCCACATCCTCCTACCTTCCCACTTTTGTTCTTGCCCTATGAAAGGAAATGGACTTTTTACCCTCTGAAATCTAATCAGATTCTGGTTTGCCTTCTCCATAACCAATAATAGATAATGTATGACCTTAGTACTGTTGTCTGGTTAAAACATCAAGAAGGGTGTGTGTGCGTGTGTGTGTAATATCTTAAAGGAAAACACAAAGTGCTAAAGCAAGCTCTTCTGGAATGAAAATCTCTAGTATAAAAAGGTTTAAGTAAAACAAGAATGTATTTCTAGTAGTCATGCACCTCAATTACAGACTACAGAGTCCAGAAAACTATACAGATAATACTGTACCTGCTCGTGCACAATTCTAATAGAGTGTGCTTGACAAATTTCTAAATTAGAAACTTCATCCATTTGACAAATGGGAACCTTCTTTCCTAACTAACCCACCTGAAATATTACATGCTCCATGCCCTCTAGTCTGTTACATCCCCAGTAGTTAGAATGACAGTCTTCAAACATAAATCAAATAACATCATTCTTGCCCTAAACTTTTCCAAAGGCTTAGAAGAAAACCTAAAATGAAATTCTTATCAGGCCCTTTATGATCCTACCAGGCTCCCACTCACCTCTCCAACCTTCTCTGTTAACTTCTTCTTAGTGATTCTCTCAGGCACACTGATAAATAATATTTGCACATGCTCTGTTTAGAATTTTCTCCCAAGGTCTTCACACGGTTCATTCTCATCATTCAGATCTCCTCTGAACTATCACCTCAGAGTCCTAACAGTACTATACCACCACCTGATTCATTTTCTTCATATTCCTATTTTCTTATCAATTGTTTATTACCCTCCCCTATGACTACCATCACCAAACAGAAGTTTTTTTGAACTGATCCATTTCTCTAATAATGACAATTGTTTTTTTTTAATTTTATTTTATGTGCATAAGTGTGAAGGTGTCAGATCCATTAGAATTGGCATTACAGAGAGTTGTGAGCTGCCATGTGGTGCTGGGAATTGAACCCAGGTCCTTTGGAAGAGCAGACAGTGCTTTTAACCACTGAGCCATCTCTCCAGCCCCTAATAATGACAATTCTTAAAGAGAAATCATTCTCTTTAAAAATTCCTGGACTGAGAATATATGCAAAAACAATTAGTGAAAAAAGAGGCCATAAATTTGAAGAAGAGTGGGAAAGTTATATGGGAAGTTTTGGAGGGAGGTAAGGTAGAGAGAAATGATACAATAAAGAAAATAAAAACAAATAAATAAATAAAATAATTACTGGTGCTGGAAACACGGCTCATCAGCTATGAGCATTTGTTGTTCTTGCAGAGGACCCAGGTTTGATTCCTAGTACACATGGTGCCTAACAGCCATGTGTAACCACAGATCCAGAGGATCTGATGCCTTCTTCTGGACTCTGTGAGCACCAGGAAGGCACATGGTGCACAGACATACAAACCAAACACCTACGCATATAAAATAATAAATCTTTACAAAAATATCGACTATCCAACAAGCGTGTGTGTGTGTGTGTGTGTGTGTGTGTGTGTGTGTGTGTGTGTACGTGTGTGCTCTCTATGGTGAGAGAGAGTTAAAATCTTACTTTGTGTTCCATGCTTGCTTTAAGCTTACTATATAGTCCAGATGGCCTCAAACGTGTGATCGTCTCACTCAGACTCAAAGTGCTAGAATTACCACTCTTCAGTTGTCTTTTTCCATGCTTCTGATCCATTTGAATATGTTTGTCTTGAAGTCTTCAGTTTCCATGTTACAATCTTCTATTCCAAGACCATATCTTACACTTATTTATATCTTCAATAACCCTTAGGACAAAAATACTGGAGCTGGTTCTGATTTCAAAAATACCAAATTACTTTTCTTTGTAGATGGTGCCATTTGACTAATATCCAAACATGTACCAAAAATTAGGTCTTACTGTTATTATTAACTTTTATTTATGTGTATGGTGGAGAGGTGTCCCCTAAAGCTAGATTTATACCAGAATTGGGTGCTGGGAATCAAACTTTTATCCACCCACTGAGCCATCTCACCAGCCCCAGTATCTGTCTATCTGTGTATATGTCTATCTTCCTTTTTTTTTTTTTTTGTGGTGATACATGTTGTCTGTGTGTCACATTCATATGTGTACATGTTCTTTTATGTGCACTCAGGCAGACACATGATAAAACACATGTTTAGGATTCATTCAAAGGACAACCTCAAGTGTTGGTCCTTGCCTTCCTCTTTGCTAGAGACAGGGTCTCTTTGTTGGTCTTTGATGCATACTCCAGGTTACCTGGCCCTCGCGTTCAGACATCCTCCTATCTTTGCCTCCCGTCACACATTAGGAGCACTGGGATTAGAGAAGCATGCACCCTTACCAGCATTCTGTGAGTTCTGGGGATTAAACTCGGGTCCTTGTGTGTGCACAGCCAGTGATTTTACCCACTGAGCCATCTCCCCAGCCCCATGGCCATCATATTTCTTAGTGAGGCAGCATACTTACTTCTGGCATTTGCTTTGTCTGATTCACTCAGACATAAGTCATCCTTGGCATCAGTGCTTCCCTCAACACCATGCCTTATAAAAAACTTTATATGATTTTTATCAAATTCAGTATCATCTATATCATATTTCTGTAGCCCCTCTAACAGTTTCACTGCTGCCAAATGAGCAAATCTGTAGAAAAGAATCAATAATTAGCCAGATCCTCAAACTTCCATACATTAAATCACAGTTCACAATTAACGTATACAATTTCACCATATATGCACTTCTATCAACCCACCACCAAGCAAGGAAGCAAACCTGTACCTGAATGTCACTGAAATTTGCCATGCACTCAGCTATGTGGGAACCTTGGTTACTGAATACTATAAAGTATTCCTACTGAGAAGTGCTCACATACTTGTTGCTGCTAAAATCCACCGGGAAAGGAGATCTCAGAGTAGAATAATACTTAATGTGCCCCAAACCAGAATGACTCTACTGAATACAGAGCTTAGAACCATCCTACATGATTCCCTATTTTATTTCCTTCTGTTAGCCCAAGGTAAGTGACACAATTAATTCTGGTTCCAGTTGCAGAGTTAACTATAGTTCTTCCTATACATACTAACTTACTTTTCATCCTTCAACTCAAAGCACTTACCACATTTTGAAATTTAAAGAAAAAATAATGAGCTTTCCTTCTGTTTTCTATTCCCTTTGCTCTTTTCCACATTTCATGAAGCCTCTAATAATAAATTCTCGGTCTTAGAAATTTTTCTGTTGTGAATAAATTAAATATGCATATTTCCCCACAATGTTGCTAATTGAAATATGTAATACTTTCTTCTAGGACATAGAAAATCACCAAATATTAAATTCTAATTTCCACAATGTTATGGTTTGAACATACAATGTTTCCATACATTCATGTTTTAAACACCTGGTTGCTCCCCAGCTTGTGGCACTACATGGAAGAACTTTAGAAGATGAAGCCTGGCTCACAGAAACAGGCTGCTAAGGTAAGGCTTTGAAGATTCTACCTAACTCTGGAGAGCCAGAGCTGCCTGCTTCCAGATTTCCTGCATGTGAACAACCACCGCTACATACTCTCACCACTGTGCCTTGGCTGCTAGGCCTTCCTAACTGTGAGGAGCTAAAATTCTCTGAAACCATGAGCGCAAATAAGCTTTTTTTCTTCTTAACTTGTTGGTTAAGTAATTTGGTTACAGCAATGCAAAAGAAGCTAATACATCCATCTTTTTATAAAACTACACATTTATACATATATCTTATTTTTTAATCAGGTACTCAAGTAAATTATTAAAGATCTATCAATATGGCTGAGTTTGCAGCTCGGTGGTACAGTACTTGACTAGCATGTACAAGTCCCCAGGTTTGTTTCCATCACCATAAGAACAAATAAAAGATTTAGTTATAAATTATATAGAGAGTTGTGTATCTGACAAGGAAGGAGAGGATGGGGCTACAGACACAGAGAATAAAGAACAATCCTTTATTGTCAAAGGATTGGGTATGTGACTGCAGCTGTGTGCAACAGTTAACGACCAGGCCAAACACAGACATATTGTACAGGTGTTTGCTGCTTTGTGGATTCCTTTCTCTCCTCCACCCTTCTCTACCCCTGTACTCCTTTCCTTTTGATCACCCCCCAACACTAGATAGGAGAGAAAAGGGGTGGAGGAGAAAGGGGGTATGTTATTATTACATTACTCTCTGCTGATTAGGGATGCCAAGTTCCATGGGGAAAGTTTGATCTTTGCCTTCAGGATATCTGATTTCTTCACACAGGACTACTTGTCAAACTGCAACCAACAGCATCCAACCATAAACCAGCCACACCTACTGGGCCTCTAAGCATTTATATATCTTCTGAAAAGTCTCCAGAATTCCAGACATCACACACTCAAAGAAACTATCTACAGCTGGCAAAACCACACCCCTGCCAGAACATGAGGTAAATCGTAAACAGCTGCTACAAAGTAGCTCCATATCCCCACACCTGGGATTACAGGAGGGGCAAAAAAAATTATATATATATATAATATATATATATATATATTCCCATAACATTTCTGTGTTTTTTAAAGAAACCAAAATCACATGATTCTCACTGCACTGACTGCTAGTAGCACAGCAGGGGACAAGCAAGAAACTTCTCAGGACTTTAAGAAAAGGAGACACGAGAACCTGAGCAAGCTCCATGGGTACACAATCTGGCACTGTGCAAAATTATTTTAAGACAGAAGATCTGGATCTGTACATAGGCAGGTGCAGGAGAGGCCCCTGCACTTGCTAGTTTGCTCAGTGTGCTATACTGACCAATCATCTTAAGAGAGATGCCACCATCAAACCTAAGACTTAAAGAACAGGCCCTGCACCTTCATGCCTTTAAGTGCTAACAGCCTCTCTTCTTTACTAGCCCTGCTAGTGATTATTGCAGGAACACTGCAGAGATTTTCCCACCCTGCCTTCGGAATGCTGGGCAGGCACTACTATGCCCATATTGTTTTTTAATTGCTTTTTTCTTTTAACTTTCTTTTCCCTATTATTTCACATACCTTTCCTCTCTTGCCAATATTCCTGCTACTTTCCCCTATTCTCATTCCTCATTTTATTAATATTTTAGTTCAATTTTTAATATCCTAATTTACCCTATAAATTACCTTATTTAGTCTTCTTGGAAAAATAGTTCTTATTTCCTTTTTTGTATTTTACTCTATTTAAGTATTAGGTTAGGTAGATGGTGGAACATACCTATAATCTCAGCATTTAGAAAGCGGAAGCAGAAGGACTGCAACTTTGAGGCCAGTTTGGGCTATCATTTAAAGCCAGCCTGGACTATGGTGAAAGACCCTGTCTCAAATAAGCAAATAAAGTTGGTTTTGACAAAGCCACAAAGGCAGTGAAGAAAGTACAGCATTTTCAACAAATAGTGCTATAATTGATGTCCCTATGCAAAAGAATGAACTTAGATACACACACCTAGCTCAGTATTAAAAAAGAACCCACAATGAGCCACAGACCTCACAGCCTATAAATATACAACTTCTAGAAGAAAACAACGCAAAATCACAAAGATTTTCAAGATCTAACAACAAAAGCACAATCCAAAAAAAGGAAAACTTCACTGAAACTGACTCACTTTTAAAGATGTTTTTAAGGTATGAAAAACATCCCACAATTTCTTTCTTCAGAGACTCGAGTTTTTTTCATAAAGGTCTTTGACTTGCTTGGTTAGAGTCACACCAAGGTTCTTTATGTCATTTGTGGCTATTGTGAAGGGTGTTGTTTCCCTAACTTCTTTCTCAGCCCTTTTCTCTTTTGTATACAGGAAGACTACTGATTTATCACACTGCACAAAACTAAAGACTAAGTGGATCAAAGACCTCAACATAAAACCAGACACACTAAACCTGTTAGAAGAAAACGTGGGAAAGAGCCTTGATCTCATTGGCACAGGAGACAATTTCCTGAACAGAACACCAATAGAACAGGCTCTAAGATCAACAATTAATAAATGGGACCTCTTAAAATTGAAAAGCTTCTGTAAGGCAAAAAAACACTGTCATCAGAACAAAATGACTGCCTATAGATTGGGAAAGGATTTCACCAACCCTGTACCTGACAGAGGGCTAATATCCAGAATATATAAAGAACTCAAGAAGTTAAACACCAACAAATCAAGTAATCCAATTAAAAAATGGGGTACAGAGCTAAACAGAGAATTCTCAATAGAGGAATATCGAATGGCGGAAGACCCTAGGGAAGATGCTCAATCCTCATTCAGAAGGACAAACACAATAGACATCGGAAGCAGGAGAAGACAAGGAACAGAACAGAAGCCTACCACAGAGGGCTTCTGAAAGACTCTACTGATCGAGATACCAAAGTAGAGGCTGAGACTCATAGCCAAACTTTCAGCAGAGTGCAAGGAATCTTAGGAAAGAAGGGGGAGATAGAAATACCTACAGGGGACAGGAGCTCCAAAAGGAGACCAACAGAGCCATAAAAACTGAGCCCAGGTGACCCTAAAGAGAATGATACCCCAAACAAGAACAATGCACGGAGAGGACATAAAACCCTGGCTTAGATGTAGCCCATAGACTAAGTCTCTAAGTGAGATTCCTTAGTAAGGGGAGCAGGGACTTTCTCTGGCATGAACTCAGTGGCAGGCTCGCTGATCACCTCCCCCTGGGGGGTGCAGCCTTGCCAGTCCACAGAGGATTACAATGCAGCCAGTCCTGATGAGACCAGATAGGCTAGGGTCAGATAGAAGGGGAAGACGACCTCCCCTATCAGTGGACTAGGGGAGGAGCATAGAAGGAGGGAGGGTGGGTTTGGGAAGAGATGAGGGAAGGGGGCACAGCTGGGCTACAAATTGAATAAATTGTAATAAATAATAATAATAATTAAAGAAAAATTAAAAAAGAAAAACATACCACAAGTGAAAGAAAAAAAATCTTTGCAATGGATATTTTCTGAGAAAGAACTAGTACCTAGAATATATAAAGAACCCTTTAAACTCAATAAGAAAAAAAATTCAACGAGGTATAATGGCACAAACTTCTAATCCCAGCACCAGGGAGGCTGAGACAGGACTGCAAGTTGAAGGGCAGTCTGAGCTACATATGAAGTTAAGAGCAATTGGGCCCAACCAAGGCTCACCTGCCACTGTAACTGTAGCCTATGCTCATGGCATAAATTCAAGCAGTTTTGAATAATAAAAATACAAAATACTATGTCACAAATCCTCCAACAAGTGTCAGTGTAAATGCTGCTTCTTCGGGATTTTTTTTTTTACAACAATCTAAATTCTATGCTGTGATTTCTTTTATATGTTTTACTATCATCTGTACTGTTTCCAAACCCACACCATTGACAAACAGGAAGAACTGGCAGTTTTCCTCACTCATACATACCATGTAATATGGGTGTGGCACTGATTATAACTACTGAGAAGCATTGTTTGCATATGTGTTCTTTGAAGGAAATCTTCTAGGGCTTCCATGACTACAAGCTCCTAGAGGGTACACACTGCACTTCTCACCTTTACATCCTAACTTCTCTCCACAGTGCCTGGACCACAGTAACTAGACAGGATATTGAATAAACAACAACCAAATAAGCACAGGGATGTGCACTAACTATTCCTTGAGGGCCTGAGCTGAGTGAGCTCACAGTTTTGTTACAGAGGTTACATTTATTTCCCATGTAAATACCTAAATATGATTCAAACCCCTCAAAATTGTTTCTCTATTATCACTGCTGTTATTCTTTTTTACCAGTGTTTCTCAATAAGGTATCAAGGATATTTGGGTGCAATAATTCATTATGCACACTAATTAGATCACTGCAGAATGCTTAGAAGTCCTGGACCTGGGACTGGGGATTTAGCTCAGTGGCAGAGAGCTTGCATAGCAAGTGCAAGGCCCCGGGTTCAGTCCTCAGCTCTGGGGAAAAAAAAAAAGTCCTGGATCTGACCTTATGTGGTAAATGCTCATTTTCATGGCCTTTGCTCTCATTTCTAAATGTCCCTTCCCCTGAGAAAAGAGAAATAATAATATCTAATACTACCATCCAGATAAAAATAATTGCTTTAAAGGGGAGAGCTAGTAAGAAATAAACATCAGCTGGGTGTGGTGGTGCACACCTTTGATCATAGCACTTGGAGGCAGAGACAACTGGATCTCTGTGAGGCCAGCCTGGTCCACAAAAACAAGTCCAGGACAACCAAAGCTACACAGAGAAACTCTGTCTAGGAAAAAAAGAGAAATAAACATCAATCAACTTAAAAGCTGTGATTCCATGGCATCTTGAGTCCCCCAAACCTGTATTAAATCCTCATAAATTTCTAAGTACAGGAAAGTACATGTACAACTTTAAAAGTAGATGCAAGGAGCACACTAGACAGGAGTTTTACCTTTTAGCCACATCGCTGGGTCTCTCTCCTGCTTTGTTGGTAATATTACTGTCGGCTCCCATTTTAATTAACCACTGCAAACACTCTACGTGGCCCTGTCCAGCAGCTTTTTAAAACAAGGAAACACAAAACACATACAGAGAAAGAGTTGTTACTAAAAAAAAAAAAAAAGTTGTATCAAATTTTGACCTTGTAGTAACTAACAAAAGTAGGCTATGCAAATATTTGTTCTTTTCACTTGTACATTTATTAGACACTTAATCAAATATATACTGTGCTCAGGTCCTATCCAAATAATTTTGGATACAGATATAAAAATTGGAGCTCAAAGTTCAGACAATCAAGTCAGAGAAAGTAGAATCCAGTCTTCCTAACCCTTACCCAAGTGCTACGTCATACTGCATAACTCCTACACAATCTTGTGCCATGCTCCAATATGTAAACATTCCAATCATAAGGACCTCAGAGACATCAAAAATCTTGCTCTATGCCTGCCTACTACATATGAAAATCACACACAAAAGAAATCTTTTCTCAAAAAATGTTTATCTATTTATTTGCTTTGTGTCTGTACCTGCACATATGTGTGCCTGCACAGTGTAAATCTGGAGATCAAAGGACAACTTTCAGGCCCTTCTACCTATGTAGGTTCTGGGGATCAAGCTCAGGTCATCAGGTTTGGGGGCAAGCACTTTACACAGTGAACCATATCACTGACCCCCACCCAATCTTGCTCTAGCATACATAGATATGTAGAATATAGGCATACAGACAGACAGACAGACAGGGTTTCAGTAATCATTAAATGTAGTGAGAGATATGCTATTGTTGCTAAGTCCCCAGAAACATATCATCACTTTGATCCTTAGCAACTTGTTCAATTCCTCAATTCCTACTCCCTTTCTTCATCTCTTTCCTATCCAAAATCAGCTGGCAAAAAACACTACCGGATTTCACAAAGCTCTGAAAGTAAATATCCATTAGACAAAAATAGTAACATATTCTGTCTTTTCTGCTCCTAAAAGTGATCAAAAATCATATTTATGATCATCAATAATTGTGTGGTTTAAAATAATTTAGCCTGACATTTCCATTCTATCATAGGCAAATAAAAGAAAAAGGGAGACAATTTATATAAAACAGAATATAAGAAAAGATTCTGGGAAACTACACCCTTCACAATAGGCACAAATAATATAAAGTATATTGGTGTAACTCTTACCAAGCAAGTAAAAGACCTGTATGACAAGAACTTCAAGTCTCTGAAGAAAGAAACTGAAGAAGATATCAGAAGATGAAAAGATGTCCCATGAGCATGGACTGGTAGGATTAACATAGTAAAAATGACCATCTTACCAAAATCAATCTACATATCCAGTTCATTCCCCATCAAAATACCAACAAAGTTCTTTACAGACCTTGAAAGAAAAATTCTCAACTTCATATAGAAAACAAAAACCCAGAATTGCTAAACAATTACATACAATAAAAGAACTTTTGGAAGTATCTCCATCCCTGACTTCAAGCTATACTACAGAGCAATAGTAATAAAAACTGCATAGTACTGGCATAGAAATAAACTGGTTAAACAATGGAATCAAATCAAATACCCAGAAATAAACCTACATACCTTCAGACACTTGATTTTTGACAAAGGAGCCAAAAACCATACAATGGAAAAAAGCATCTTCAACAAATGGTGCTGGTCTAACTGTATGTCTACATGTAGAAAAATGCAAATAGATCCATATTTATCTTCCTGCACAAAACTCAAATCCAAGTGGATCAAAAACCTCAACATAAAACTAGACACACTAAACCTATTAGAAGAAAAAGTGGGGAAGAGCCTTGACTCACTGGCACGGAAGACAAATTCCTGAACAGAACACAGGCTCTAAGATCAACAAATAGGACCTGTTAAAACTGAAAAGCTTCTGCAAGGCAAAAAACACTGTCAATAGAATGAAATGACAGTCTACAGATTGGGAAAAGATCTTCACCAATCCTACATCTGACAAAGGGCTAATAACCAAAATATATAATTAACTCAAAAAATCAAACACCAATAAACAAAATAACCCAATTGAAAACTGAGGTACAGAACTAAACAGAGAATTTTCAACAGAGGATTCTCAAATGACGGAGAAGCACTTAAAGAAATGCTCAACTTCCTTAATCATCAGGGAAATGCAAATCAAAATGACTCTGAGATTCCATCTCACACTGGTCAGAATGGCTAAGATCAACATCTCTAGTGACAATGCATCCTGGTGAGGGTGTGGAGAATGGGGAACCTGGTGGGAGTGTAAACTTGTACAACCACTTTGGAAATCAATCTGGCACTTTCTCAGAAAATTGGGAAAAGCTTTACCTCAAGACCCAGCTATCCCACTCCTGGGTATATACCCAAACGACATACAAGGACACTCACTCAACTATGTTCATAGTAGCTTTATTTTTTATAGCCAGGATCTGGAAACAACCTAGATGTCTCTCAACCAAAGAATAAATAAAGAAACTGGCACATTTATACAATGGAAAACTACTCAACTATTAAAAAAAGGAAATCATAAAATTTGCAGGCAAATGGATGGAACTAGAAAAGATCATCCTGAGTGAGATAACACAGACCCAGAAAGACACACAAGGTATGTACTCACTTAAAAGGGAATTTTAGCCATATATACAGGGTAGACATACTACAAGGCACAGACCCAAAAAAAAATAAATAACAAGGAGGCTCTAAGTGAGGATGCATAAATCTTACTTGGAAGGAAAGATAGAATAGACAGAGGTAGTGGCTAAAGAGAGGGAACAAGGTAGGAGAGGGGCCACAAAGAGTTAAGAGAGTGGAGATCAGACCAGGGAAGGCTGAGGCCAAGAGGACAAAAGGGCTGTAGAGAAAAGAGAAATGGAGGGTAGGGATATCTCTGTGAAAAGGTGGAGACCTAAGTCAGGGTAGGCACCTGGGAGGATATGAGGGGGGTTTAAGCAGAGACTCCTAGTAGTAGAGGCCCAAGAAGACACCTTCTAACTAGACTAGCCTGGTAGAGGGAGGAGAATTCCAACCTATCCACAAAAACTTCAACCCCAAATTTACACTGTCTATAAGATGTGCAGAGATAAGGATAGAACAGATAGAACAGAGACTGAGGGAATGCCCAACTAATGCCTGGCCCAACCAAAGACCTACCCTATTGGAGAGTGTCAACCCCTGATACTATGAATTGGACCTAGGCCCCTACAAAGATGTAGCAGATGGGCAGCTTATGCTTCATGTGGGTCCTCTAGTAAGGGAAGTGGGGACTGTATCAGATAAAGACTCACTTGCCAGCTTTTTTTCTTGTCTCTTTTTTTTTATTTTAATTTTTATTATACTTTGTTCACTTTGTATCCCTCATAAGCCCCACCCTCTTCCCCTCCCAATCCCACCTTCCCTCCCCCTTCTTCACTCATGCCCCTCCCCAAGCCCACTGATAGGAGAGGTCTTCCTCTCCTTCCTTCTGATCCTAGTCTATCAGATCTCATCAGGAGTCACTTGCTAGCTTTTTGACCACTTCCCCCTGGTGGGACTGCCTTGCCAGGCCACAGGGGAAGAGGACATGCTCAGCCCTGATGCAACTTGATGAACTGGAGAGGATGGGAAAGGGAGCTCCCCTTTTCTGAGGAAGAGGATGGGGAGGGGGAGGGAGGGTGGAACTGGGAAAGGAGGGGGCATGAGGCTACAACCAGGATGTAAAGTGAATAAAAAATAAACTTTAAAGAAAAGAACAGAAAAGAAAGAAAGCAAGCAAAGATTCTGGCTGGAGAGATGGCTCTGTCATTAAGAGTACTTGCGTTTACAGTTGCCAGCACCCACATGGCAGCTCACATGTCTGTAACTCCATTATCAGGGGATCAGACGCCTTCAGCTTGTGCAGGTACCAGGCATGTACATTGTGTATATCCACACATGCAGAAAAGCACTCAGACACATAAAAATATTATTTAAAGAACATGCCTTTAATCCTAACACCTAGAACAGAGGCAGGCAGATCACTGTGAGTTGGAGGCCAGCCTGCTGTACATACATAGACAGGAATATATATAAAGAATCTATTTCCAGAATAAAATTTTAAAAGAAAGAAAAAAAGAAAGAGGAAAATAAACTAATTCTTTTTAAAATATTGTTAAAAGATGGTTCCTTAGCAGTGTATTTCACCAAGAAACTCGACTGAGCCTACCTTCAAAGGCATACACATCTCGCATCTTAAAAGGCACTTGAATTAGAAATCAAGCATTGTGCATTCCATCTAACATTCACAGATATCCAGAAGGGTAGATTTCTCATAACTGCATTAAAAGCTGAATAATCACAAGAAATCACTGAAAATAACCAGGACGACGCACCTTTATGCATAGGAGTTGATCCGGTATCATCACGCTCATTCAAATTGATTACTCCATCTCCTATAAGTTTCTTAAGCACCTCTAGATCACCCTTAAAGGCAGCCACATGACCCGGAAACGCTAAATCTGAATAAAAAGTCAGCATTTTAGCAAACACACGGATTTATTTTTTTCCCTACCTCAAGCTGTCATTCAATCCAGGTTTCAATATTATCAAGTATGAAGCTACTCAGGTGCATTCAACTGATACACTGACAAATAAAAATAATTACAAAATAAGATATTACCAAATGTGCTACACTATTAAAACAACAAGTTACAAATTATAACTTACTAAAATTTAAAAACAAACAGACTATAAGTGGGAGAAAAGACTATGAATGGGAGAAAAATGTTTGCAATACACATCTGACAGTTTATGTCAAGATTATATTTAAAAAAAAAAAACTTGGTGATTAGAAAAGCCCTATCTTTAAGATGTCAAAAACTAAAAAATGTATTTCATGAAAGAAGGAATGGGTGACCAATCCAGAAGAAGATGCTCAAGGAGAGAGCACACACCCATTAAAATGACTACAATAGAACAGACTGACTATGCCCTGTGTTATAAGGATATAGAGTACTTTGGAAAGCAGTTTGAAAGACATTGGTTTGCTGGGTATGGTAACACATGCCTTTGATCCCAGTACTTGGGAGGCAAAGACAAGTGGATCTCTGAGTTTGAGGACAGCCTGGTCTACAGAATAAGTTCCAGGACAGCCAGGGCTACACAAAGAAACCCTGTTTCAAAAAATCAAAAGAAAAAATAAAAATAAAAATAAAAATAAAGCAGCTCCTTAAAAAATATCTAAAGTTAGACATATACCCATATGTTCCACTCCTAGTACTTACCAAGAGGGACAGAAATGTAGACATAATAGCTACCCTATTCATAAATCCCCAAACTAAAAGCAATAAAATGCCCACCTCAATTCGTCTTAGAATACAACATAGCAATAAAAAGAAATAAACATAGCATGTATGAATTCTCAAAATGACTATATACAAAACTCTAGAAAACCCAAAGCAGATCGGTGATTGCATGGGGACAGAATAAAAGAAGCAGTAAGCTGAAAGGAGTCTCAGAAAACCTAGATATGATAGAAATACCTATATCTTGATTGTTATGATGAAATGATGAATGTGAAAATCGTAACATTTCATACTTGAATGTAATTTTTAATTTAAAATTTACTTAACTTAAAATTAAGTAAATTTTAAAAACTATTGTTTAAGGATATAAAGTACAGAACAATCCACTTCTGAGAGAAAATTATCTGATGAAAATTCATAAATGATTCATACCAAGAATACAGAAAACTCAAATTACTTAGAAAAATAAATGAACTGCACTTTTTAAAAAGGAAAAATATAGGTATATAACATATATGTACATATTCATAGAATATAAAGAACATAGCACCATGTCCCCACAAAAGCAGAACTGTTAACTGCATTTTCACAGAAGGTGGTGAAAACCTTAAGAAGCTTCATCCAATGATCCCAGAATGCAATACAATTTTCACTTTCAATGTGGGCTAATGAGACAAAAACAAGGAAGCAATTTTCTAAAGAAACTCTGATACACATACACAAGAAGGTATGAGCTAAATGCATCAACTTTGTAGTATTTTATTTTACTTTTAATTTCAATTGTTTTAGGTAGGATTATTATTGTTGTTATAAAACACCACGACCAAAACAATTTTGGGAGGAAAGAGTTTAAACAGCTTGTATTTCCAAATCACTGTTCATCATCAAAGGAAGTCAAGAGAGGAATTCAAACACGGCAGGAACCTGGAGACAGAGCTGATGCAGAAGTAATGGAGGGGTGCTGTTTATTGGCTTGCTCCCCATTACTTGCTTTTAGTCTGTTTTCCTATAGAATCCAGGACCACCAGCCCAGGGATGGCCCCACCCACAGTAGACGAGGCCCTCCCTCATCAATCATTAATTTAAAAAATGCCCTACAGGCTTGCCTTCAGCCAGATTTTATGTGGACATTTTCTCAATTTAGATTCCCTCCTCTCTAATGACTCTAGCCTGTGTCAAGTTAACATAAAATTAGCCAGCACAATCCCATACAGTGTTCTTTATACTACTATCTACATACTTTGTCTAAAATGCTTCATAAAAAATAATCTGGATAGAAATATACGATAAATTTCAATCCAGCATTTGCCTTACAAGTTCTTTGTCATTGGATTCCCTTTTATTATTATCATTCTCTGTTAAAATATGTGAGGTTAGGGGAGGAGGATGTCCCCTATCAGTGGACCAAGGGAGAAGGATAGGGCAGGAAGAGGGAGAGAGGGTGGGACTGGGAGGAGATGAGGGAGGGGCCTACAATGGGATACAAAGTGAATAATTGTAACAAATGATAATAATAATAATAATAATAATAATAATAATAATGAAATATAATAAAATATGTGGGGTTAATTACTTACTGTCTTGATCTTCTGGATTGCTTCCTTCATATTCAGCCCCCTGAATAAACCGTATAATGTTCTGCTTCAAGAATCGCTGGGCCAGGTCCAATACATTTTCTCCATTATCATTGAAGGCTTTTAAAGCTTGTGCTCCAGTATGCATCCTACTCAGTAGGTATTTAAAACAATGAAGGTGGCCTTCCATGGCTGCTAAATGAACTGCAGAGAAGACAAAAAGGATAGCTTTACTCCTAAAAATGACAATAAAATACCTCAGAAAGCTGAATGTGGTGGTACATTGACGTAACACGAGGAATTCCTAATGGGAATGGCAAAGGAATGTTAAGTTCCAGGTCATCCTGAGCTACACAGTGAGTTCCAGCTTAGCCTGTCTCAAAAAAACTGAAACTAGCTTTAGGCAGGTATAGTGGTGCACACCTTTAATCCCAGAAATCGAGAGGCAGAGGCGGATGGATCTCTGTGAGTTTGAAGCCAGCCTGGTCTACATAGTGAGGTACAGAGCTCCATAGTAGGAGCTGTCTCAAAAAACACTTAAAAAAAAAAGAAAAGAAATAAATTTGCTTTAAGGAGCAAAGATGAATGATATTTTTATCATTCTTTATTTTGTCCTCTTCTTATAATTCATTATTCTGTATAATAAATACAAAACTTAAAACTCTACACTGACCAGTCATGGAGGCACAGGACCACAATCCCACCATATGAGAGTACAGGTTCAAAGCCAGCATAAGCTCCATAGCCAGACCCTATCTCAAAAGAAAAGACTGCATTCTAAGCACACATTAGCAAATTCACTGTTTCCACACTAACTCCCTGAAAGTAAGACAACAAATTTATTTCTAAAAGCTTTAATGGACCAAAACATATGAACAGGAATGATGTGAACAGACAAAAGAATCCTTGAAAGTTATTAGATCAGATTGAAAGACAGCCAGAACCAGAAACTTTGGGGGATGAGAATAAACAGTTATGAAGCAATGACTCCAAAGACCAGGAAAAAGTCCGATATTTGGGTAATCAGAGATGAAAGAAAATCAAAGTGATGTTCAAGTGGCCATTGCATCCTGGCCTTAAGAGAAGTCCTTAAGTTGAAGGCTACTTTGCTGGCACAAAGCATGCCATGCTGGGTCATCCTGCAGCCCTATGAGAAGATACACCTGAAAATGGCCCTGCTAACTGCTTACTCATCATATATGTTTGAAAATCTCACAGATTTCAACTTAATATAATGTAACAAAACTAACTCTTCCCTTGCATTTTTCACACATTGTCTTCGGTATCTTTACTAATAGGAAGCTCTCTCCTTCCTGTGTTGATTACCTCTGTCCCTCCCCACATCACTACACCAAAAACTCCTAGGTCTCTCTCCAAATACACATAAGACCCAATTCCTTCCCACTCTCCCAGCTTCCTCCATCTACCCCACCATCAACAGTGAAACCCAAATAGTAGAGTAAGTTGCTCCCCTGATCTTCTGCCTTCCTTTCCCTGGGTCTTGGTGATTAAACCCAGGGTTCTGAGTACACCAGGCAAGTGCTCAACTACTGAGCTACCTCTCTCTTCTTCTGCAATTATATTTTGAGATAGGGTCTTGCTAAATTACTCAAGACTGGCCTCAAATTTGCAATCCTCACGCCTTAAACTCTAAAGTAGCTGAGGTTACAAGAGTCTGCCACCACATCTGGATTCTCTCTGTTTCTCACCTTGCTGTGCCCACATCCTCACTTCAGCAGATTACAACTTATCCTCTAAGGCAATGGTTCTTAACTTTCCTGATGTTGCAACCCCTTAATACAGCTCCTCATGTTGTGGTGACCCCCAACCACAAAATTATTTTGTTGCTACTTCATAACTATAATCTTGCTACTGTTATGAATTATAATGTAAATATGTTTGGAGATAGAGGTGTGAAAGGGGCCATGACCCACAGGGTGAGAACCATTACCTATGGCATAAGTCTGCTCAGGTCACCCCATGTTCAGATCCTTTCAGTTGTTCTTGGTGCCTCTGCAACCTCATCATGTTACTCGAGCCCTCACTTTTGTTCCAGTCACACTGATTTGCTGTTATGCAAACCACTAGGCCTCCAGAGGAGCAACACATGCCTCATCACCTCTTCCTGTAATATTCTTCCTCAGACTAGCCACAGACTCAGCTCCTTTTGTCTCCGCTAACAGTCACTTCCCCAGTGAAGGCTCTGCTGACCAAAAGGCATTGTTTTAAATTTTATTCCTCTACTACTCTCTACTCCCCTTTGCTATATTTACCCAAACATGTATTGCTATATAATGTTCTATATTTGTATCATTCATTTTGATGACTAACTTTCCCTCACCACTACATAAAATACTTTGTATTTCCTGCTGAATTACCTCTAACACATACATACATGAGTGGTACTCAATAAATACATACCAAATTAATTTTCTGAGCGGGCAACTGTCTCTCAAAGTATACACTCATGATATGTGATGTGTCTCTCTGAGCATATTTCTTTCTTCTAACTTTCATGCATAAGTCATTATTAAAAGATCTTTATAAACTCCAAATATGTTTTATAAAAAGTTTTTAGTCACTCAGGATTTTTTTTGAGACGGGGTTTCTCTGTGTAGCTTTGGCTGTCCTGGACTCACTTTGTAGACCAGGCTAGCCTTGAACTCACAGCAACCTGCCTGCCTCTGCCTTTCAAGTGCTGGGATTAAAGGTGTGCACCACCACACCAGCTTTTTTTTTTTTTTTTTAAGATTTCTGTTTATTTTATGTATGAGTGTTCTATCTGCACATACGCCTGCATGCCAGAAAAGGGCATCACATTCCAGTAATAGATGGTTGTGAGCCACCATGTGGTTGCTAGGAATTGAACTCAGGACCTCTAGAGGAGTAAACAGTGCTCTTATCCATGGAGCCAATCTGATCTTTTTAATGAGAAAACAAAAAGCCAAAAGAAAATGATCAGACATACTTGAAATTATGATTCCTACCTTGCATTACATATAACAAAGATCAGTTCTCAGTAGGTTGGAGATATGAACATAAATGTAAAAAATAAACTTTAAAAGATAAAGAAATGACTCTATGACCACAGAATAGGGTGAACATTTTTTAATCAAATACAAAAAGTACTAACACAAAGAGAACATATTATTAAATTGGACTACATTGAAAGTAAATTTCCAGCAGCTGGGGAGGCAGACATAAGCAGATCTCTGTGAGTTCAAGGCAAACCTGGTCTACAAAGCAAGTCCAGGACAGCCAAGGCTACACAGAGAAACCTTGTCTCGAGCAACCAAAACAACAAGACAACAAAACAAAAAGAAAGCAAACTTCTGTTCATAAAGCATGTCTCAAAAGAGAAACAAATCAGTCCATAGAATGGAAAAGGCACGTGCAATGTATATAGCTGATAAAAGGTTTCCATCTAGGCTCTATAAAGAACCTTACAACTCCAGAAGAAGAAAAAGAAGCAGAAGAACAAGACGCAGAAGAAGATAGAAAGGATGTCTGAACTGGTGCTTCACAACAGAAAATAATCAAGAAGCCATTAAACATAAAGATACTAGGACAAAGAGGAGGACATTGCAGCCAGTCCTGAAGATACCTGATAAGCTAGGGTCAGATGGAAGGGGAGGAAGTCCTCCCGTATCAGTGGACTTGGAGAGGGGCAGTGAGGAGATAAGGGAGGCACGGTGGGATTGGGAGGGAATGAGGGAGGGGGCTACAGCTGGGATACAAAGTAAATAAACTATAATTAATATAAAAAATAAAAATTTAAAAAGATATAAAATGATGTGCCCTGTCGGCAGTCATGAGTAAAAATACAAATTCAAACAAGCAAGAAATCCAATAACTCAAAACAGCTACTAAAATTAAAACAATTGGTTAATAGCCAGTGTTAATAAAGTGAGAGCTATGGGGCTGGAGAGATGGCTCAGAGCTTAAGAGCTCTGACTGCTCTTCCAGAGGTCCTGAGTTTAATTCCTAGCAACCGCATGGTGCTCATAACCACCTACAGTGAGATCCGGTGCCCTCTTCAGGCCTGTAGGCATACATGCAGGCCGAGTACTGTAAAAGTAATGAATAAATCTTTTAAGAAATAAAAGTTAGAGCTACTAAAATGTTTTCTTCCATATTGCCATATTACCTTCTTTGATTACTTCTTTAGTTAGCATTGAAATAATGTATTTCACGGTGCCATTTACATTATTATAAACTTCTGATAGTCACTTTCCATTTCCCTTTCCTGGTGTCCCAGTCCCTCACTAGTCGTTCTTCCTTCTGACTTCATGTCTTTATACATGCTTATAAAACCTTAATTACAGTTGTTTAAAATTATATTGATATATTTCTGTATTTTTAAGATTTAAAAAAGTATTTGTATGTGTGCATGTCTCTGTGTACATATGTCCAGTTGGAGTTAAGGACAACTGTGAGCTGTCCAACATGGGAGGTGGGACCTAAACTCAGGTCCTCTGCAAAAGTAGTAAGTGCAGTTAGCTGCTGAGCTATGTGTCCAGCCCATCTATATGTTTTCTATATTGTCTTTACATATTTAACTCTATATCTAAATCTAAACACTTAAATCTAAATTCCGCTTGTGAGAAAAATTCCCTTTAGAGCCTAAGTTGGCCTTGACCTCACTATTCAGCCCATAGTGGTTTCCAACTTTTGATCCTTCTCTACCTTTCAAGTGCTGGAACTGGAGGCACACACCACCACAGCTGGAGGCACGTGAAACTCTTAAATGCCTCTATGGGTTATAACTGGTACACCTACTTTGGAAAACAAATACAAGACAGGCCCTCAGAATACTAATACACTATTTTATTCCATACAGTTTAAAAGTAGGGGGGGCTGATTTATAAGCCAGAAGTCAGAGATTAATTGTGGAACGTAACAGATAACTGGAAAGGAGATGTGAGAAAAGTTTCTGGGTACAAAGTAATAAACATTAGTTTATCTTAATGGTTACACGGATGCCTTCACGTATGAAAATTCAATGGCATATGCCTAGAACTGGGAACTTTTTATATTCAGATTATAGTTTAAAATTTTGTTTAGGGGATTGGAATGTAACTCAGGAATAGAGACAACATGCTAGCGAGGCTCTGAACTCAATCCCAAGCAACATAAAAACAGAGGGTAAGGGAGGGGGAAGAGAGAGAGACAGACAGAGGACTGAGACAGACAAAAACAGAAAGAGAAAGAGGGAGAGAGAAACAGAGAGATTGAGATTTAATTGAACAAAAGAGTAAGTTTAAAAAGGATGAGAGCAAAGTAAAATTACTTTCATATATTTAAAAAATGTATTCATACCAACCAACAAATCTTCACAAAAGAATGCTTCAGAAGGAAAGCCAGCTATCCCAGCTGGTAGTGTAAAGGTACAGAAGACAGAGCAGAGAGGGAGGGAGACTACAGCATCCAGCATACCAAGGTAAACCAGAATCCACAGGGATATAGAGATATTCTAAACAGCAAAGCAATTGACTCACACTCATTCATATTATCTGCCTAAATTTTCCCTTCATAGGTGTACTTAAGATCCCTTTAATATATAATTCAAGGATCTTTTTTTAAATCATGTGTGCGTGTATATAACTGTGCATATGTGTGTGTGTATGTGTGTATATGTATGTTTGTGTGAGTGTGTGTGTGTGTGTGTGTGTGTGTGTGTATGAGCACAGGTACGTACATGTGACCTCACAGAGTCCAGACAGGGTATCTGAAACCCTCCTCTGTATCAGATCCCCTGGAGCTGGAGAGGAAGGCAGTTGTGAACCACCTCATATGGGTGCTGAGAATTAAACTAAGATCCTCTGGAAGAGCAGAGCACCAAACAATTTTAATCCCTGAACCAGCTCTTCAGCCTTCAAGAATCCAGTCTCACTGTGATCTGTCTTCTGAATTTCAATAGCACTTCATAAAGAAGGTAGGGTGTTTAGAATCTATGTCTCAACTAGCCATTTATTCTAAATTAAACCTAAACTGCAATAACAAACCAGCTCGTGTGTGTGTGTGTGTGTGTGTGTGTGTGTGTGTGTGTGTGTCACAGTAAACAGTTGTCTGTGTGGCACAGAGATAGGAATTAAAAAAAAAAAAAGACACTAACCCTGAGGATATAGCCCAGTGCCCAGGCACCTGCTAAACTGTGTAAGTCCTCAGCTGGATCCCTCAAGAGCAGTGAGGAAGGAGGAAGAAGAAAGGCAGAAGAAAAGGAAGAACCAGGAACCAGTTTCTCTACTGCTAAGAGAGACAGCTCTAGAAAAAAAACATGAACGGTATATAGCACAAGTGTAATAGTAAACAGTTTATATCAGCCTATCCGCTAGTTTAGGTCTGTGAGGAAATTACATTAAATTTCTTAACCTTAAGTATTTTTATCAATGACAATCAAACCTTTGCCTTAGTTCAATACCTGGAAGGTTTCCATTGTAGTCTACGTCTTCTATGCAACATCCCCATTTGACAAGAAGTTGCAAACAGCCAAGCCGCCCATGAAAAGCTGCATAATGTACTGGTTTCCATTCTCTCTTGTCAGTCACACTGGGATCCTAGAGGTAAAATTCACTCAGTTTCAAAATGAACTCAGTTTCTTGCCATTTGTAAGGAAAATAGTAAATCTAGACTCTAATTCTGCATTTGAAAACTAGAAGCCATTCTTAAAATTATACAGCAGTTAATATAATAAAAATTTACTGTATTCACTTATCTGAACACACAAACAATGAAGTTTTCAGTGAATTATTATAAAAGTCTTCTAAAAAGAAAACTACTGTCACACCTTTGATCCCAGCACTTAGGAGACAGAGGCAAGTGGCTCTCTGTGAGTTCAAGGCCTGCCTGTCTACAAAGAGAGTTCCAGGCCAGCCAGGACAACACAGAGAAATCTTGTCTCAAAAAATGAATAAACAAAGGTTTTTTGGATTGGTTTGGTTTAGATTTTTTTTTTTTTTTTTTTTTTTTTTTTGAGTCCTGGCTGTCCTGGACTTGCTTTGTAGACCAGGTTGGCCTCAAACTCACAGATCCTTCTGCCTCTGCCTGGAAGTGCTAGGATTTAAAAGGCATGGCCACCACACCTGGTTACAAAACCGTGTTTTTGAAAAAAACTTAAATAACTGTTTCATAGTCTTGCCCTATAAAATGAAAACGATAGGGAGAGGTTTAAATAATGCCTTATCATTAAGAACATAAAAGATTAACCAAAAAGCCAGCACAGTGGTGCACGCCTATAATCCCAGCATTCTGGGAGGCAGAGGCAGGCAGATCTCTGCGAGTTCAAGGCCAGTCTGGTCTACAAAGTGAGTTCAAATAGCTAAGGCTACACAGAAAAACCCTGTCTCGAAAAACAAAACAAAACAAAAAATATTCAATGTTTTTACTTCTTAGAAAACTCTTGCCATTATGACTTCCATATTGGTAGTGTGTTTTGCCCCGTAACCCCCACCTCTCGTGTGTATGAGTGGTTGGAGGGCAGGATTGAGATGAGGTCTCACATTGTAGCTTCAGGCTTGTAATCCTCAAGCAAGTCTCAACTTCTCAAAGGCTAAGACTAGAGGACTGAGCCATCATGCCTCTAAAAAGTTATACAACCAATGAGTACTATCAAAAGTAAGTATTAGGGAACCAGAGAGGTGGCTCAGCAGTGAAGCGTACAGAGGACCTGTGTTTGATTCTAAGCACCCACTTCAGATGTCTAACATTAGCTTGCAACTATTCTAGGGAAAATCCGAGGCCTCTGGCCTCTGCAGGTACCTGTATTCATATGCACATGCCCGCACACACACATACACAGTTTATAAATATTTTTAATAAATAAATAAGCATCAAAATAAATAAATTAAATCCTGGAGAAATAAAGGACTTCCCAAACTGGTATATAAAATAAAGGGGTTTTTAAAGCATTATGCAGATACATACAAACTCATAAAAACATAATTACCTGGTAAATGTTTGTTTAAAAGCTTCAGAGTCTTCCCAATTAAGCTCTGAACCAGCATCCAAACACAGAAACATTCTGTATTATTGTTCATTTTGGGGAGAGGCAAGGGGATATTTGTCTCAATTGCTGCATCCATGTTTGAAGATGGGAAAACTACAGGAAAAAAATCACTTCCCCAAAGTCATAGCAAGGACTTTAAAAGTCAGGAAGCAATAACCAAACTACCAAATACTAGTCTTTCCACATGATCACACACTACCACTAATTAGGAGGAGTCCCTCACCACTCCACTTCGCAGCATTATTTGTAAAGTAAAAGAGTGTCCATGACTGGCAGCAAGGTGTATCGGCGTGCATCCGCGATCATCTTGAGCTGCTAGGTTGGCTCCATTGATTACAAGAGCCTAGAAATAGAGAAGTGGGCAAAGTGTGAATGACTACAAATGTTAAACTATGAATGCAGACACAGAATAAATACAAGCAATTAATTTATAAAGTGATTATTACATATGACCTACAGGCAAACTATGATACATTCCTTAGGTAACCCTATAAAGAGTCTGAAGTCTTCTTTAACACTGCCTGAGGGACCTTAGTTACTAGCTCTCAGTTCCTGGTCAATGTTCTAAGGGTTTCATCCAAATCTGCAAATGAGCCAATTTCCATATAGGTCATGGACTGTAGGATTTCTTCCTATATATATATCAGACAAAGAATTTCACAAATCTATCAGTCCCAATCGAGACCTGGCAATAAAGTTTCTGGATATCAACAAATGCATTCTAAAGTTTATAGAAAACCAAAAGACCTAGAATCACCAAGAGAATATTAAAGTTTGAAGATTGACACCACCCAACTTCAAGACTCATTTCAAAAACCAAGACAAAGAAATACTGGCCAAAGAACAAAGAGATAGTGCAACAAAACTGAACAGAACACCTAGAAATACATCCACATAAACACCGTCAAATAAGCTGAAAAAGGAGACAAGATTGTCTTTTCAATATAAAGGTGCTAAAACAACTGGAAATTCACATGTAAATTCTAAGCACGGACCTTACAGACTTTGAAAAAATTTAACTTGGCCAGGTATGATAGCAAATGACTTTAATCCCAGCACTCCTAGCACTTAGGAGGCAGAAGTAGTAAGATCTCTGAGTTTGGCGCTAGCCTGGTCTAGTGAGTTCTAGTACAACCAGATCTATATAAAAAGACCCTGTCTCAAAAAAAAAAAAAAAAAGAAAGAAAAGAAAAGAAAGAAAGAAAAAGAAAAAAGGAAGGAAGGAAGGAACGAACGAACGAACTTAAGATGGATCACAAATACAAAATACAAAACAATACCCTACAGGAAAATGATAGCTCAGTTAGGGCTGAGCTATAGTTTTTTGTATACATTACCAAATGTACAATCTTTGAAAGAAAGAATCGATAAACTAGTGAAAGACCCCAGCCTCACCCTAAGTTAAACATAGCTAACGCCATTTTGTGGGACACCACTGTTTTGTAAAACTCTGAAGGCCAGATGAGAAACTAGAAAATTACTGAAAAATCCTAGCTGTGTCACCCACTTGGGATATCTGTGGTCAGGCTGCCCCAGTCATACTAAAAACAGTTTGTGTTAATCACTCTCATAGTTATCTGTGAGACTGTTTCAGCTAAGATAGGGAAAAACAAAATAACAGGTGGCGGGCCACGTCAAGGGGTCATCCTACCCCCCTTGACCACCCAGTTCCTGGAATCTTGGTGCCCCTGCCAAACTTTGACGCAAATTGTGGTCTCGTGTAAACGTACCAATCAGCCCCCTGTAACCATGCCTCTCGCTTCTGTACCAGTGCTTCTGCTCTAAAACCCTATAAAAACCCCAGTTTTTCCCCAAGGAGGCGCGCAAGGTTCCTCCCGAGTGACCTTGCTGCCCCGAGTACTCGTGTATCAAAATAAAAGCCTCTTGCTGTTTGCATCCGAAAGGCCTCGTTGTTCCTTGGGAGGGGGTCTCTCTCAGACAGAAGATACCCTCTGGGGATCTTTCACTAGGCTTCACTGAAATTAAACACCACTACTCTAAGGAGACACTAGAGAGAGAAGAAAAAAGACAGTTCACACACAGAGAAAATATTTGTTAAAGAGATATCTGATAAAGGACTGTTACCCAAGACACAAAACCAACTCTTAAACAGTAAGAAAAAAAATCAATTTTAACATTGGTCAGGGCTGTGGATGTAGCTCAGTGGTAAATTTCTTAACTTGCAACAGACCCTGCGATCAGTCTTCAGTACTACCAAAGAATGTTCAGAGCAGATACTGACCAAAGGAGATAAGCATATAAAAGCCTCTCCATATCAAAGGCCACCAGAGAAATGCAAATTTAACCATCAGAAAATATCACTCTCTTCTTATTAGAATGGCCAAAATACAGAACACTGACAATACAAATGCCAGCAAAGATGAGAACCCACAGGTTGGGTACTTTGAAGACAGAAAGGCAGCTTCTTATAAAGCAAAGCATAATTGTACCATATACAACAATCATGCATTCCTTGCTATTTAAATAAATACCTACTAAGACTGAAACTTATGTTCACTAAAAATCTAAAAATGAATGTTTACAAGCTTTATTTATAGTCAGGTTTGGAAACTAAGAGAACACTGAGTGGGCAATGGTAGTAGCAAACATTCAGACAATAAAATACTGAACACTAAAAGAAACTAGTGATCATCAGGTATGTGGGTGACTCTAATACCATCATTTGGAGGCTAAGGCAGGAGGATCATAAGTTCAAGCCCAGCCTGTGCTATACAGTAAGACATTACCACTAAAAAACAAATCAAGCACTGTATCATAATAAATTTGTTCAAATGCGCGGCATGTAAAATATCAAGAGCAAACCCCATTGTAAACTATGGCTGTCAGGTGACATCCATTGCTGTACCTCCAGAGAGTCGCTGGCTGGGAAATCAATTTAACAATGCAAAATCTGTGTATCTTTTGCCCAATTTTGCTGAACCTACTATAGCTCTAAAAAGTAAAATCTATTTTAACAAATGAACCTTTAGAACTTTTTTTTCTTTTGGTGCTCAGGACTGGATCAGAGTCGTGACTATGCTGCCCTTGCACTGTATCATGTAGCTACATCCCAATTCCTCCTTAGCCAATAATTTTCTCACTCAAAATTTCCTTGTTTTAACCAGCCTTTTTTTTTTTTTTTACCCGTACCTTCGCAAAGGATTGCTCAGTCATAATTCCTACCAAAGACTTTAAAAAGAATAATTCTCATGACCTTATCTGACCTAACCAGCCAATAACAATCATAAATAATATACTGTGAGTACTTACTGTTTTAAAAGGCATACACTAATAATAATAACTAATGATTAATAATAATAATAAACTTACCAACCTAAGGAATCAGGGCATTTGAAGGTATAGATAATCAACTACACTAAGAAGACCTTGATAAGAAGCAACCATGTAGCACAGTACCAAAATAAGCAACATAAAAATTCTAAGAAGGAAGAGATCACTGTGGGGTAGAAAATGAGAATCAAGGCACAGGGAGTGACTGGAGCTAATGCTTATCAGGAGGAATGCACTGGGTAAAGCTTCACTTGACCTAGTTTCTACTAGAGTTACTATTAGAGTTTCTCTTTGCTCTCATTGCCTACCTCCTCAAGGTAACACCCATCACTTTGAGAGCTTGTATTAGCCCAACACAAACATCTGCACCACAGCAGCAAGCTACAAAGAAGATATTCTGGGCATCACTATGACATCACTCAAAACAACCCAACGACTTCAGAGATTAAAGAATCCCGTTACATGACATTTATGTGCATAGCTGGTATCAGTCAATCTTTCTTTATAGCATATAACTGCAAGTGTTGGATCAAAAAGAATAATGGCAATATCCCAACAGAACTACAGTGAAGTAACTGAACTTACTGAATTAAAAATGAAAAAAAAAAAAAAAAAAACCCAATAACCAAGATCATTACCTGCATACAGGCATCCTGACCCCGGATTGCAGCTATGTGAGCTGCTGTCCATCCTCTTGTAGTTCCCTGTGTGGTATCAGCACCATGCCAGAGTAGCCAGTGAAGGCACTATAAAAATAATAGCATTAATGAGTGATAAGCCAGATGGTTTTAGTATAAATGTACTCTGTTATCATGAGATTCCTAGTGTAGCATGAGAAACAACATAGACGAATGTAAGCCCAGTGTAAGAAAATCAAAAGCAAAAATACAGTGGCATAGCAACCAACATTTGGCTCTACTGTTGGGTAAATAAAAAAAAGTAATAGAAGTATAGCAAACTGGAAAGCACATTTCTTTTCTACCAGGTACACTTGATACTAGGTTACAGACATTTCTTGCTGTGACAGAAATAAATGCTAGTCCAATAAATATACCACTTGGCTAATACTGCTCATGCCAAACAAAACCAATCTGTGAGCCAAATTTCCTCAAGAGCTGCCAATTTGCAATTAATATTATTATTTTTTCTTTTTTTTCTAGAGCTAGAAAGATAGCTCAGCAGTTAAGAGTACTTGCTGCCCTTCCTAAAGACAGGAGTTCAGTTCCCAGGACCACTGTTAAGTAGCTTACAACCACCTCTAACTCTGGCTCCAGGAGAATCCAACACCCTCTTCTGGCCTGGGTCAGCCCCTGCATGCAGTTTCCTATGCTCTGTAGTTTGAGCATATAGTGAACACACATACTGAGACCAACCATGTTTTTAAAAAGTTAAAAATTAACAGGGCTTCAGAAATTGTTGGAAGAGGAACTGGGCAGGACTTTCATATAATCAATAATAAAATTAACAATGCTGTCAAAATTGACCTTTTCAAGTCTGGAAACTGGCCAAAGATATATATATCAAAATATAAGGCATGTATTTAAGAAAATCTATGGAATCTTAGGCTGGGGAATGTAATATAGTTCAGTTGGTAGAGTTGCCTAGCATACTCAGAGTCCACAGTTAGATCCCCAGGACTACATACAACAGATGGGTGCACACCTATAATACTAGCATCTAGAAGGTGGAGGAAAGAAGATTGCAGGTTTAAGGATTTCTGCTACACAGAAATTCAAGTCAGCCTGAGCTATGATACAACCTATCTCTTTAAAAAATAAAAATAATAATAATAATCTTTTAAAGGAGCTACTACTCAGATGGCGCAGCAGTAAGAACAGTGGCTGTCCTTTTTTTTTTCTTTTTTATGATTTTATTTATTTTTATTTTTAAATTTATTTTTAATTTATATCATAGCCTGATCATAGCCTGATCATAGCCCCCACCCTCCTCTCCTCTCAGTCCCTCCCTCCCACCCTTTTAACCCTATCTCCCCTCCCCTTGCCTTCAGAAAAGGGGAGCTCACCCTCCTCCAAACCACCCCAGCACACCAAGCTGCATCAAAGCTGAGCTCCCCCTCATCCACTAAGACCAGGCCAGGCAGCCTGGCCAGGGAAAAGTATCAAAAGCAGGCAACAGAGTCCATGTCACAGACAGCACCTGCTCAACTTACTAGAGAACCCACATGAAGATCAAAATGCCCACTAGTTACATATGGGGAGGGGGCCTAGGTCGAGTTCTTGCATGCTCTCTGATTGGTTATTCCGTCTCTGTAAGCTGCCATGGGTCTAGTTTAGTCGACTATGTTGGTCTTTTTGCAGCATTCTTGTCCCCTCCAGGTTTAACCTTCTCTCCGGCTCTTCCTTAAGACTCCCGAGCTCCACCTAATGCTTGGCTGTGAGTCTTAGCAGTGGCTGTTCTTTCAGAAGACCTGAATTCAGTTCTCAGCGCACATGCCAAGTGCCTCACAACTACCTAGAATTCTAGCTCCAGGAGATCTGACAACCTCTTCTGGTCTCCTCAGACATCTTCATGCATGTGCACATTATCACAGACAGACATACCCATAAATAAAAACAATTTTTTAAGGAGATAAAAAAATTTACTGTATCTCAGTTAAAAAAAAAAAAAGGGGGGGGTGGGAATCGGGCTTCCATTTTAGCCTGGGGCTATAGCTACCCCAACCCCTAGCTTCACAGTATTGTTCTACTTGGTAATATAGCTCAATTTTCCTAACAGAGAAACCTTTTTTTTTAAAGTGAACAACAACAACAAAACTACTCGGCCCAGGTATACTACAGAGGAAAATTTCAACCCCAGTAGCTAACAACCAGGAGAAAGCAAACATCAGAAACAGTGTGAAGTCACGTCTTTAATGCCACTACTCAGGAGACAGAGGCAAGTAGATCTCTAAGTCTGAGGCCAACTTGATCTCAGAAGTTCCAGGCAAGCCAGAGAGCTGCACAGTGAGACTGTCTAAAATATTAGTAAATAAAATAATCTTTTAAAACTCTAAAGATGAGGGCTGGAGAGATGGCTCAGAGATTTTAAGAGCAATGGATGTTCTTCCAAAGGTCCTGAGTTTAATTCCCAGGCTCCTAACCATCTATAGTGAGATATGGTACCCTCTCTTCTGACATGCAAGCACACATGCTGGCAGAATACTGTATACATAATAAATAAATAAATCTTCAAAATTTTTAAAGATGATTACATGAAAGTAATCAATAAGCATAAATGGGTACCAGGAAACAGAAAAATATTGCAAGGTATCCTATTTGGATATGTCAAAATAAAATCAGTATCTTTTTCTTTTCTTTCTAAAATCAGCTAACAAGCAGAAAGGAAGGACATAAAAATCCCACTTTTGATGAACTATCTATAACTCAAACACAAAACTGATGGAAGAATCTGCCAGAATACAGATTCTGATGTAGAAGGGAACACAGACCACCACCTACCTACCTACACTTACAAGCTCACAGATAATAATCAAGTACATTTCTCGTTTGTGACAGGGATCCACTGACACACCACAGTGAAAATTCCTGATCACTTCAATTGGGGCACATACTGACAGGGAGATTATTTTATCCAGATTTGTTTGCATAAAGCAGAGTAGTTGAAAACAACAACAACAAAAACATAAAAACAGTTAAGTTCACAGAAAAAAAAAGTCTTTGTGTATGTGTTAGGGAGAGAGAAGTCAGTTTTGTAATCAGACCTACTACAGTCCATAGGCAAATAAAAGATAATATCAAATGCAAGCATACAACTTTGAAACATGAGAAATTCCTGTTTCCCTTGTATATATCCCAAGAATAAGACCTGAATAAAATATTCACCAAGTAAGTTTGTACAAACTAAAACCTGGGAACCAACTAAGTACTATGGAAAATGAATACATTGTATTATTCTAAAAATAACTATCACCATAAGACTGAAACAAATAGAGTAGATATATGAAACCATATGGCTTAAAATAAAAAGCATATTATTGAATAAATAAGTAGAGGAATGACACACACAGAATGTGGTATCTATACAGTATCAGTCAAAAGAATTACATAACAACAACAACAACAAAAGAATTACATAATATGCAGTAACTGCTGAAAACATAAATAAATCTGATAAAAGCCAAACCTGGGTAATATTTAACTTTCTGGAGAGGAATGACACCTAAAAAGTGTTCTTTGGGACCTTAAAGTTTATGCAAAACATGAGGGTGAGTTCATTATGTTATCCTGTCCAAGTTAGCCTCTCTGCTTGTCTTTAGAACCTAGTCACCATATTATAAAGATGCACAAACTAGCCCCAACAGAGAGAACACGCCAAAACACCTATTTGGAAATAAAGTAAAGTGCTGTCTATATCCATCATCAGTCACTGGACATCTGAGTAAATGAGGCTTCAGGAGACTGTTCAGTACTGCTCAGTACTGGAGACTGAACCTAGGGTCTCATGTAGGGTGGGCAAGTAGTCTACCACTGATCTATATCCCTGGCTGCAGCCTTCCAATCTTCTGACTAAAACCCTAGACATTAAAGAGCAAAAACAAGCTGTCACTGCAATTCAACTTCTTAGTTCACTAAAGAGCATTAAAAATGGTTACTCTGTAACACTAAATTTGGGGATAATTTGTTAAGAAGCCCTACTAAAGGGCTGGAGAGATGGCTCAGTGGTTAAGAGCACTGTCTGCTCTTCCAGAGGTCCTGAGTTCAATTCCCAGCAACCACATGGTGGCTCACAATCATATATACTGGAATCTTCTGGTATGCAGGGGTACATGGGGACAGAGCACTCACATACATAAAGTAAATAAATTCATCTTAAAAAACAGAAGCCTTATAGAGCACTCAAATAACAGACAGAATTCAAAAGAAGATTATTTAGGTGCCAAGCATGAAGTCTTATAGCTGTACTCTAAATTTATAAAACTATCATTGTCAATTTATTTTCATTTAATATAGTAATAGATTATTACCTCCAAACTTCCAGAATGTGCTGCCCAATGTAAAGGAGTAAACTGATGGAGAACATCTACTTCATTAAGGTTGGCTCCACGTTCCACTAAGTCTGCAAGCTGCTTGACATCTCCAACCCGCACCACATCATGTATGCTACCAAAATGCACCTTCTTCCTGGAACCTATCGAAAAATCAAATTTCTTCAAATGTATTACAGAATTGTGAATAAGGACTAGAGCAATGAACCAGAGAAAGCACATCACTCTAGCTTTCTGAATAATTTACTATAAAATTTAGACAGCTCTGAAGTAAATTAGTCTAAAACAAGGAACAAAAAGCACAAATAGCCTTGTTAACAGAAAAATGTTTATGTGTATATGTGTTGAGAATACATAAGATAGACAGTTCAGTGACTAGAGAAAGATAATAGATAATATGAGCATATAACCTTAAAACATGAGATATTCCAGGTACCCTGATACATGTCCCCAAGAATAAGAAGTACTATATATATATATAATATTCATTAAATGTTTATATAAACTAAAAATTGAAAACAACTAAGTATATCCTAATCAGACTTTAGGTTCTAGTTCTAAGATACATAGCATTAACATTAACCTACCATTCTCCCAACAAAGGAACTAAATATATAAAAAATTAACAATTGCTAGCCATGGATGTGCATGCCTTTAACCCCAATACTTGGGAGACAGAAGCAAGCAAAATTCTGTAAGTTTGAGGCCAGCTTGATCTATACAGTGAGTTCCAAACCAGCCAAGGCTACAAAGTAAGACTGTACCACTAGAGAGAGAGAGAGAGAGAGAGGTGGCTCAGTAGTTAAGAGCACTGGATGCTCTTCCAGAGGACTCAGGTTCAGTTCCCATGCACCTTCATGGGGGCTCACAGCCATCTGTAATTACAGTTCCAGGGGATCCTTCTGGCCTCCATGGGCAGCAGGTGTAGAAAGTGGTTCACTGACATACATGTATGGAAAGCACTCACATACATAAAATAAGGAAATGTAAGAAGGAAGGAAGGAAGGAAGGAAGGAAGGAAGGAAGGAAGGAAGGAAGGAAGGAAGGGAGGGAGGGAGGGAGGGAGGGAGGGAGGGAGGAAGAAATAGATTCTCTCTTTGGTCCTATCAGACAATTAAAGCCTCAGGTCAAACATCCTAAATCTAGAGAGACAGCATATACAGAGAAATATAATTGAGTTCAGCTTACAAATACTGCTAGAAGTCATAACCTGCTAGAAGCACTTGAATGACAATTCTGATTATTTGCTCTGGCTATGTCATAGTTAGGATTCCTATTAGTGATAAAACACTATAAGCAAAAGCAACTTGGGGAGGAAAGGTTTTATTTCAGCTTACATGTCCCAACCACAATCCACCATGAAGGCAAGTCCCTCTCAGACAAAAAGGAACTCAAACTGCAATGAATTTGTACCTAAACAATGACACAATATAAGCAAAGATGAGTTGGAAAAGAGTGAGTGCATGGTCCTGGCTATGGGTACCATGGCACACAACTGAGGTTGAGAAGCCTGACAGGTAAACATCTGTGGAGTAAATTCCCATAGAGTTGTCTTTTTTCTTTACAGTATATGTTAGTGTGCCTTTGTGCACACAGCAGTTATATGGTTCTTGCAATAGATAGTGAGACACACAACTAAGGCTGAGCCATCAGGATTAGCAGTGTCTCTGCAAGGAATCCCAGGACTGCAGTCTTTGTCTATGTGGTATGGGATGGCAAGCCTGCTTGATGAGTAACACAAGAGATGCTCTAAAAACTGTTAAAAGTCTAGAGGAAAATTTGAAGTCTTTGAGATTAGCACTCAAGGGTCAAGATCGCTGGCAAGCAGCAGCAGAGGTTGCCTGGCCTCTCCTGTGTGTAGTTAGAAAAGCACCTGAGGTGGCAGCAAAGCAGGAACTTGTTTTTGTAGAGGAGCAATTGAAACAAGGGAGATGCCTCTAACTTCTCCTCCATGTTAGTCTCTGATTTGGCAAGTAAAATAAATAGACAAGAGAATGACGTGCAGGTGTTGGCTTTATGCTTCTTAAGATTTAGGGATCAAAACCTTAAAAAAAAAAAAAAAAGAGTGCAAGTTAGGTTCATGCTCAAAAGCCCTTCTTGGGATCCACAAACTTAGAACCCATGGGAAGATTCCAAGGATGAGGAAAAAATAGTAAAAGCAATAGAAGATAACCCATAGGTCTGACCTTTAGTAGAATAAAAGGGGAAATCTATAATCCAGCATGAAGATGGGGGCATTATTAATGGTCCAATGGAAGAAACTATGGTAATCAGGGAATATTCAGTTCCTGAACTACTGGAATTTCAGGAGACTCTTAAGCAATGAAAGAGCCTCTCACAGCCTGGTTTGTGGGGCTATGGGACATGGGAGTAAATGAGATCAGTCTGACTGTTGAGAGGCCGAGAATGCATAAACTGAGACAGTACGAAGGAAATCAGCTCCTGGGCTGGCTTATCAAAGCCATTAGTAACACTTGGTTATCTCCATGTAAAGACTCCATAAATGACCCGGAATAAAAACAAGAGAGGAGGGATGAGCACTATTTGAAAGAACTAGGAATAAGAGAGGCTATGTATGGACTGCAAGCCACTAACCAGACAGAACTGTTCACAGAAAAATTAAGAGGAAAGTTGATTCAGCAGGGACCTTGAGATTGGTATGGGGCCTTAGTGGCGGGTGGGACAGAATCTCTATGAAGTAGGAGAGGCTTTGGCACCTGGTGATCTAGATCCTCATGTGAAGTGAGTTCGTAAGACTAAAGTACCTGGTAAGTGGTTGAGAAGAGTAAACAGGCAATGGGTCCAATCTGAACCACCCAAAGGTAAATGTGGCTACATTTTTGTCAAACTAGAATTCCTAGGGAAGATATCCATAACAAGTCAACTTTCTGTACTTGTCTTTTAAAGGCCATAAAGCCAAGCCAGTTCACCTAAGGGTGTTGGGAGGGGGCACATGGAGGTACAGTCCCCAGGGCACCTCTTATTTAAAAAATGTCCCAGTGTGGGAGCCACCCAAGCCACTCCTCTAATGGGGTGACGAAGGCTACCTACAAGTAAAGGTCATACATAGCAACCAGAGGCCTCATGTAGAGTTATGAATTTTTAAAAATTTTTATTTTATGTGCATTAGTGTGAAGGTGTCAGATTCTTTGGAATTGGCGTTACAGACAGTTGTGAGCTGCCATGTGGGTGCTGGAAATTGAACCCGGGTCCTTTGGAAGAGCAGACAGTGCTCTTAACTACTGAGCCATTTCTCCAGCCCCAAGTTACGGATTTATTGCCCCCCACCAATGTTCAAAATCCTTGGGCTTTGGTGGATACAGAGATGAGTGTATCATTCACGGAAACCTAAAAACATCAGGAGTGAGCAACAGGATACAGATATGGTGATAAGACAATACAGATAAAAAAGAACTAAGGGTGAGTAGCTCCTCCCAAGAGTATACGGTGTGTATTTTTCCACTGCAAGAAAACATTCTGTTGGTGGATATACTGTTAGGTCATACTCTGTATACCACTTTGGGGGAGTTCTGCCTAAAAGTGCACAGTGAACCCAGTCCTGTATCGTCAGGGAAGATGGCAAACTGGAAATCTGCCCACTCTGAGTAGGATGGTAAAACAATATAGATTACACAGGGGTTATAATAAAGTTACAAAAATAGAGAATTGGAAAAGGTAGAAGGTATTCTTCTTGCTTTGGGCCCTTTCAACAGCCTGATATGGCCTATTAAAAAAAGACAGATTGCTCCTAGAGAATGACTGTGAATTGTAGAGAGCTAAATAAGGTAGTTACTCCATTCTATTGTACCCGCTATTGTTCAACCAGTACATGCAATGGGGTTTTTCCATGCTGGATTCCAGCTTATGTTTGACTTTAGTATCCTCTTGGTTATGAATTTCTGGGATCACATGACACTTGCTGAAAGCAGATGACAACAGACTTTCAGAGTGCTTCACCAAGGTTATCTTCATTATGGGATAGTGGTTGCCTTATCTTGCTCATTTTCTGGAAAAAAGGTTTTCTTATATAGACAGACTACTAACTCTGAGTGTTTTACACATTTAGAAAGACACTGGAGCCGGTTGTGGTGGCACAGGTCTTTAATCCCAGCTCTTGGGAGGCAGAGGCAGGTGGATTTCTATGTGTTCAAGGCCAGCTCTCCAGAGCAAGTTCTAGGACAGCCAGAGATACACAGAGAAATCTTGTCTTGAAAATACAAACCAAATATAGTCTATGGCTATAGCACCCTGAATGCGCACTCGATCATTTGATCTTAGAAGCTAAGTAGGATCTGGCCTGGTTAGTACTTGGATGGGAGAACGCCTGGAAATGCTGGGTGCTATAGGCTTAAAAACAAACAAAAAAGAACAACCAAATATATATATTGATATGCAAGGCAGGATGTGCCTGCTTGTGCAAAAGGAGCTCAGAACAACAGCCTTCTGACTGGACTTAAGGCCTGCTTCACTAGGGTGAGGTCATCATACTGTGTAAGCCAGGACAAAACCTATGGCTCTGTAGGTCATGTCTCAAAGGGGGAGCAACTTCTTTTTTTTTTTTCTAGATGTATATGATGTGCCTATCAAACTGCCCTTTAAACATCTGTTTATACCCATCGATGACTGTTGTCAGCCTCAACTCATAAGCATTGTTGAAGCTCCTGAACAAGACAATTGTTACTCTGGCATGGCTGCTTATTTATTAAGCACACGTAGACATTTACAGTCACCCCTTCCAAGGCTCTGGGATTATTGGAAAGGAGAGGAAGGAAAGAATGTAAGAGCTGGAAGAAGGAGTGAAGTGTGCAACTCTCAGACCATCTGCTTGGAAGAGGTTTAGACCAACTGAGGCATCTGGAAAAGAGAGTCTCCAACCTGTTGAGCTGCCTGACAGCTGGCTGTTCCATGTGCTCCAGGTTTCCCAGCTTTTCTGAGATGTCATCCATGCTGGGGGGTGAGCCTTGGTGATAACAGCTGCCTTTGAGTTAGTTCTGTTCCTGTAAGTAATCCCTCACCCATACTGATGTAAGTAACTCCAACAAAACTCATTGGTTCCCCAAATTGATCTGGTGTTATCCAGTGCCTTGATCTGTCGTGTAAATCCTATCTGGGCTGAGTGGACATGTGTTGCATCTCCCCAGGAAAAGTTTTGTCACATAACACTCACCCTCACAAAAAGTAGGAGGAAAAACAAAGAAAAAGATGAAGAAATAGAAGACGCCTGTAAAAGGTGCTCCAAATGAATGCAAGTTAGAAAATTAGATAGATCTAATTTGTCATCTCCACGGTATCAAATGCCGCGGAAAAGAACATACAGAGATCCATAATATTTAACAAATTATGTTTGATCTGAGTAAGATATCCAACAAACAAGTGATGTAGATATAAAGGGGGGAAAGTCAATAAGGGACAGTGGAAATTAAGAAAAAAGGGAAAGTGACAATGGTGAAGGAAAATGCCAGCAGGGGCTCAGACTGATGACCCTGAAGCAGAAAAAATGGAGACGAGATAACAACAAAAGAATGTGACTCACAGCCAGGCGTGTTGAAGCATGTGATCCCAGCACTTAGGGAGGCAGAGGCAGGTGGACAGCTGTGAATTCGAAGCCAGCCTGGTCTAAAAAGCGCGTCCAGGGAAGCCAAGGCTACACAGAGAAAACCTGTCTCGAAAAACAGGAGGTGGAGAAGGAGGAGGAAGAAGAAAAAGAAGAAGAGAAGAAAAGAAGAGGAGGAGGAGGTGGAGGAAGAGAAAAAGGAATGAGACTCACTTGAGTCTGCAGACTCCCTAGAGGACTTGGAGGGACCAGGCATGGTATGGTCCTCCCTCGGACTTGGACTCTGGGGAGGAGTGGAACCCAGGCCCCTGCTGCTGCACCGGGCTTCACTTTCTCCCTCACAGGAGTCTCTGCTGCTGCAGCAACTGGACTCCTCGTCGCTGGCGCGGGGCCCACGATCTTCCCTTTTATCCCAAGAGTCCCTCAGGCGGGAATCTTCTTCACTCTCTCTCTCCCAGAAGCCACCGTGCCGGCGACTGGATTCTTCGGTGATGCTCGCCCTGGAGGAGTCGCTGGCCTCGTAGTCAAGGCTACCATCTACATCTTCCCAAGAACTAGCAGCGCAGTGGCTGCCATCGATACTGGCTCCTTCCCAGGAACCGCCGCGGTCGTCACTGCCTCGGTCGCTGGAGTGGCTGGTTTGGGGCCCTCGGGTTTCAGAGACGCCCACCCAGGCGTCTTCGCTGACAGCTCCCCTGGAGGCGCGGGGGTGCGATCCACACACTTCACCCGGGCTCGCGTCGCTGCTGCGCTGGTCGCTGTCGCCCCTCACGGCCACCCACGGGCTGCTCAGTCGGTGGCCATCCCGTCCCCCGATTCTGTCCGGAGAGACGCTGCGGTGCTGGCCTCGGTTTTCACAGACTCTTCTCGAGTCGCTGCGGGAACAGCCGCCTTCGTCACCTACCCTTCCCGAGAAGATCCTAGAGCGGCAGTCGAAGAAGCTTTCTTCGCGCTTTCTTTCTCTGGAGTGGTGGCGACCGGATCCCTGCACTTCCCCGACCCTCTCCCTGGACCCGACGCCGAGGTAGCCGCGCGGGCTGCGGACTGCACATGCGCGGTGGCTGGCGCGGAGGCCGCAGTCCTCGGTCTCCTGTGCCCGCGGGTGGCAGGAGCGGCGGCCGCCGTAGGCGGGAGCGCTCTCCTCGGAGTCGTTTTCCAGCGTCTCCGTTCTTGCAGCCCGAAGGGAGTGGCGGTGAGGCCGTCGCCTTGGAAACAAGCGCACTTCCGGCGTGCGGTCACTTCCGTATCCTTTATGCTCGCGTCACTTCCTGCTTCCTTCCTTTCACCTTTTTCGAGGCTTCGCCTGTGGAAATCCGCGCGACTCTGGGGCCGAGGGGTTTCCAGCGGATTTTTGCGTTGTTTTGTTTGCTCGGTCTCACAGGAGCCTACCGAGGCCTGTCTCTGGAACACCCTGTCATGGATCTCGACCCCCAGCGAGGTTCCCACGACTGCGGTTCACGTAGCTGACCTGTGTGCCGCGCCTGAGGGGCCTTTTCGTCCTTGGCAAGCCCGGTGTACTGTCTCAGTGCTGGTTGGAAAGAATATCTATTTTTACCCTATGGCTTCGCAAACACAACAGTACCTAAAGGGGGGCGGTAGCAAGTGCAGTCCCTGTCATTATTAAGTGCGTGCTTAGTGGCAAGCTCTCTGATGTTCGCTTGATCCTCAGCTTACAGCTTGACACTCAAGACACCAGTAATTTGCTAAGGCCAAACATCAGGTAAGTGCTAAAAGCAACAGTCCTTAGTCATAAGACGCTCCAGGCCTCATACTTTAAATGCAACTTTTTTTTTTCACTGTAACATTATTATTATCTATACTAAACCTTTCCAACAACGTGTATTTTTCCACTTTTTTTTTTTTTTTTTTTTTTTTTTTTGCGAATATATGCGTCAGGTTTTCTGCTAGCCACTGAGAATCCAAAAAATGGTAAACTTCGTCCATATTGCTTGCTTGCACGTCTCAGTTTTATTTTCATTTTTATTTTTTGGTGTGCTTACATTGCCACCATTCGTTCTCCCATCTAGTTAATGGATGAGTTGGAGGCCTGAAAACAAACTTCATTTCTCTCTTTTTTTTTTTTTTGCTTATGTAGTTTACCCTTAAGAAACTGTTCTGCCCTCTGAAAAATTCTTGGCCATATATCTTCTCTCTTGAGATAAATTAATCTTCTTTAACATAATCTTTTAAATAGAAATAACTGCCTGGCAGTGGTGGAACATGCCTTTAATCCCAGCACTGGGGAGGCTGAGGTAGTTGGATTTCTGAGTTCCGGGCCAGCCTGGTCTACAGAGCAAGCTCCAGGACAGCCAAGGTTACACAGAGAAACCCTGCCTCAAAAAAACAGAAAAGAAATAACTGACATTTCTTGAGTTTATGTGATCAGTCTGACATTTTATTCAGTATTTTGTATGAGTTTTCTTATTGTTAGAAAAACTTTATTGAGGGTATTCTTTTATTCTGTGTATTTTAAAAATCAACATTTGTTGCTTGGCAATACACAATAAGTAGTAATAAGGTGCTTGCATTAGGATTCCTACCACATCCTTGATTTTATTTTTAAATTTTATTTCTTTTTTTGGCAAATTCCCCTCAAAATCTGATTTCCATCACACATTGTAATCACCTACTTGACCTTTGGTTCTCAACCCACTACTCCAAGAAGGTGAAGCTTCTGGAAAGTAAGTATTCTATCTTTAATATCTGGGTGTTCCTGGCATCTAGACTATTTACTTCAAGGGAAGGGCTGCTCAGTTTTGGACCATGGGGGTTGATCTAATGGGCAGGTGAGTGACAGGCTGAAGACAAAGGTTTGTTTTCTTTTCTTTATTGTTGGAAGGGGATGTGGCTTTAGTCATTCCAGTCTCTGATTTTATTTTCTTTTGAAAACTGGGACAACTGAGACCTTATTGTGGGACAGGTATTTATTTACTTAGTTATATATGTGAACCAGTGCCTATCATAACTGATTTGCAAATAATTTCAAACCTAATCTGTATTATGTTTATTTCTTACAGATGAAGAAACAGTTCACATTTGATCAGGATGACAGTAGTAGGAGTTGGGAATTTGGAACCTACTATATCTAACTCCAGATTAACTCCAGTGCTTATAGGTAGATACTTCAAATAGTAAAGGCTCTATTTCTGGGCTATGCTATATAGAATAGATAAGCCTACACAATGGACACAACAAATCTGGGAGAGTAAACTGTATTAGAAACAAGGGGAACATACAGGTCTTTTAAAAAAAAAATCAAAATTTTTTTTTTTTTACATAGCCAGTACTAACTTGAAAAATTGACTTGGATAATCTAGGAAAATACAAATATCCAAAAATTGTCTCAACAACTATATAATCATGAAAGACTATTCCAAAGTAATCTATCCTTGGCACATATCACCAGGGGAAAAGCAGGACAAAATATTTGCCAAATATGAAGCTGATATAATTTACAATTTTAAATATGAAATTCATTACCTATGAACCAGTAACTGTGTAAAGTCTTCTAAATACTGTGCTCAGAAAGATACTGTAGTCATTATAATACTTTACAGTCCATAAAATAATGGTTACGTTTTACTGCATGTGTCAGATGGTACACAGAGACGAGAGGACTCAGCCTATAAACATGCTGGATGGCCTGAGTTGGATCCCTGAGAGCCCACATAATAATGGTGGGAGAGAACTGACTACAAATTGTCCACTGACTTTTGCACTCATGTGGCACATACATACCCATTCCCAAATGAATGAAAAAATTTAAAAAATAGTGATAGAAATGTAGTCTACAGGAATCCATGTGGTTTTAATGCATTGGCAGTTGAGAAAATGAATACTCTAATTTCAGTTGTAAAAATTACTCTTAAGAGAATTTTAACTTTGGAAAGAACCTGTACCAAATTAACTGATATGTTTTAGAGCACAAAAAGAGGCATGGAAAGAGACTTATACTTGTTTCTTAAATCTTTAGTATAAAAATTATGGAAGCAAAGACATCCCTATCATATAAAGCAAAAGACAGTTTTAAAAGTAATGGTCCATGATTAAGTAGCTAAGGAAAAGCACACTGGTTTTAGCAATGTCAGTGATACACTCAACAGCAGTTTTAATAAAAATTGAGCTACAAATTTGGATTGTATAGGACTTCAAGGTAAGTTGACAGTAAAAGTAGTTTCACCATTGAAGGAAAAGGAATTCCTGCTGGAGTGGTCATATCAACATTCCAGAGACTAGGAATTGTTTTCAGATAGGAAACTGTAATTCTAATTAATAAGAGTTAGTTGTCCACACCTGTTTTATTTGTAAATTAAGGTGTGTGTGTGTGTGTGTGAGTGCGCATGTGCATGCGCGCATCACAGCATTCCAAGGCCAGAGGAAACTATTGAAGCCCTGGGAACTGGAGGGACCGTTGTGAGCCCCCTTGGTGGTGGCTAGGATTCAAACCAGAGTTCTCAAAAAGAGCCACCAGTACTATTAACTGCTGAGCCATCTCTAGCTCTCCCCTTTTTTTCTGAACTGAGATGATAAAACAAGCTAATCTCCCATAATTAGCTCTAGGCATGATTCTAGAGGGAGTGGGTCAAAACAGTTTTGACAGCTGTTTCTATTCCTTTGTCCTCACGTACTCCATAAACTTTTTCTCCCACAAATAAGACAGTCTCACTATTTTGCCCAAACTCCTGGGCCCAAGTGATTTTTTCCTCTCTCAGCATCTCCCAAGTAGCCAGGACCATGTCATTGCACTGTGTTCTGCCCATGTCTCCTTTTGCCTTGGACATCCTGTGGCTGATTTTTGGCGCTTGGTTTACTTGTTTGCTGAACAACATACTACCTACCTCAAAGAATTGACCCTATTTTAAGTTACAGAACTACCATCATAGGAATTGAAACTACCTATTTTTCCTTAATTTTACATTTGTCTGGGTGGAGGAGAGGGTCATACATGCCGCAGTGCTCATGTGGAAGTCAGAGAATGACTTATGGGAATTCTTCTACCACATGGTTTTTTTGATACTAAATACAGCTCATATGCCTACCTGATGGATCATCAGGTAGCTTTACCTGATGGATCATCTCACTGGCCCTCAAATTGAAAGCCATTCTTGGCAATAGCCTCCTAAGTTTTCATTCTTCTCCCTGCCCATTTTCTCATTTTGCAGCTCAAACCCAGGGTCTTATAGATAAGAAAATGTTCTACCACTGTATAGTGTCAGCCCCTATCTGATAGGGTCTACGAAGGTTAAGCTGGCCTTTAACTTGTGAACTTTGTTGTTTTAGAAAGACTAGGATTACACCACACCTGGTCAGTTTTATCTCTTTGCAGGCATAGTAAGATGCCTCCTTAAGTTTTCCTGAATAATTTTTAATCTTTTAATAATGTACTTTTTGACAAGGTATAATGCCAGCCACTAATGAAAAATTAAGTCGAATTCCTTTCAAGCCATTTACATGACAGAATTGTGTGATTGCTTTGTATCTTGCAGAACATCTAAGTTCAGAAGTTTTACATAGGAAAATTACATCGTAAAATCAGCCTGAAATTACACTCGAAGATAAAACTATTTTTAAGTGGTCTCAAAATTTTCAACTTTTCTTAAAAGGATTTTGTGTGTACATCTCATATATATGTATGCGTGTACCACATGTCTGCCTGGTGGCTGCAGAGACCTGAAGAATCACGTTCCTCAGGAACTTGAATTATAGACATCGTGATCCACCCATTGAGGGTGCTGGGTATGAAACTAGGTTCTTTGCAACAACACCAAGTGCTTTCAAGTGCTAAACCATCTCTAGCCCCTAAAACTTTTAACTTTTAATTCAGAAGGTGGTTTTTCTTCTAAGACTTTAGTTTTTATTGTGGTACTTCGTAGCTCCAGGGCTGTGTGTAGATATTTTTTTCATCTTTGGGAGCTAAAGTCTAATTTTGGTAATTTCTTGATTAGCTGTTCATAAATCTCAGCGTGGAGGTTCTCACAAAGTGTCCTTGAACAAGATCCACTGTGTACAGTGATTCTAAAGCACAGCTAAATTGGGAGATCAAGGTCACATTTGTCCTCTTAGAAGGAGAAAGTTGAGAAATAAGTGTTTTACTACCTCCTGTCAACAGATAATTGCACCTGGCCTAGGCACCCATCTTAGCTATTATGTTCATGTTGTTTTTTGAGACAGGGTCTCACTCTGTGGCCTTACTGGCCTTGAAGTTGTTTTGTAGACCAGGCTGGACTTCAATTAAGAGTCCTATGGACTCTGCTTCCCAAGTACTGGGATTAAAGGAATGCATGATAGTCCATGTACTGTATTAATCTTAACACATTTTTTTCATTTTTTTTTTAAATTTTATTACATTTTATTAATTCTATCCCAGCTGTATCCTGCTCCCTCATTCCCTCCCAGTCCCACCCTCCCTTCCTAATCTCCTCCCTGCCCCTTTCCAAGTCCACTGATTGGAGAGGACCTCCTCCCCTTTCATCTGACTGTTTTATCACATCTACCACTTTTTTTTTTTTTTTTTTTTTTTTTTTTTTTTGTGACTTAACCTACCAACATTTTCTTTTCCCTCTCCATCTACCAGTATTTTATCTAGGGACCTTTTCTTGGCCTAAGTATTTGGTAGTAGCTATCAGTGTTCTTGCAAGAAAAAAAAAGATGTGTGACAGGAAATGTGGCCTACATTATTGTGTGGCATAATTCTCCCATGGCAGTGTTCATGTATACCATCAGCTGTGTTGGTGTATCATGCATTTATAATTTGGTGCTGAATTGAGACTCTTAAGGAGGGTTTTGTTTTCTAGTGTGTCTAGGAATTTTGTCTGCTTGCACATGTATGCCTGGTACTCTTGGAGGCCAGAAGCGTCCCCTGGAACTGTAGATACAAGATGGTTGTAAATTGAGGTGTGCATGCTAGGAATCAAACTGGGATCCTCTGAAATAGCAGCCAGCACTATCTCCCCAACTTTCACCTCTTTGAAAGCATTTGGTAATCTCTTTAAAATGGACAGTATTCATTTAAAATGTCTAGTGACTACCTCATAATCAGTGTAACAGCTGATTTTCTTAAAAATTACTACAGTTCACAACAGGTAGTGTAATCACAGCACTCAGGGAAGCAGAGGAAGGCTGATCTCTGAATTTAAGGCCAGCCTGGCCTACAAAGTCAATCCAGGACAGCCAAGGCTACCTAGAGAAACCCTGTCTCAGAAACAAAACAAAAACCTGTACAGTTTAACCTGTAAGTTTTTTGGAAAAATAAGGGCTGGAAAGAGAGCTTAACAGTTCAGAGTGTAGGCTATTACTTTCAGAAAACCCAAGTTCCGGGCTCCAGTGTCTGTACAGCAGCTCACAACTGGCTGCAACTCCAGTTCCAAGGAAAACTCCTTGGGTACCACATACACGGGTGATCCACAAACATACATACAGGCATTCCATGTGACCCCATTTTTAAAAATACACTCTTATAGACTACTTCTATAAATTAGTCTCTAAAAATTCTCCAATATTTTGGTATGCCTGTTTCAATTTTAAATTTACCTTAGTTACAAAGTAAGATAAAACCAGGCTTCACACTGTGCTTTTGGAGTGGCTAAATTTTATTCATGAACTAGAGTGCCCTTTGGTGCTGTAACCAAAGAAATCACATGAAGAAAGCCTGCCAAGTCACACCATAAAACATTACAAGTCTTAATACTATGCAGTGTATTATGTCCTATAAATGGTAGAATATATCTACTAGTATGGCTCATAGCTGGCACTGCATGTTTTGAAACACATGAAAGACATAAAGGTCACATTCTAAAGTCACTCAAGAAATACAAAGAAAGGTTGTTCATTCAATTTATTACATGTATGAATATTAACATCTCATGGTATCCATCTAATTCAATCAAAACCAACAAAGAAAAAAGTTAACCATGTTTTTCATATGAACATTCTTACACAGAATCCCTGTAACTTAAAATAGAAATATGTTCATCTGCATTAAATTGACAATTTGAAAAATATTTTCTTAAAAAAAAAAAATCACTTTCAGTACTTAAATATATTTGTTAATTGCTTGATGGCATCAGTGTCCTGAAGTTCAAGAATAAGCGTTACTGTTTCATTACGTAGTTTCCAAAAATGGACACGTGGATGATTCTAGCTGGCGCTGCATACCTATATATAAGCACATATATCTTTTTGTTTTGTTTTTCTTTAATCTGGCTTTCCTATTTGAGAAAAACTAAGTTTGAACTTTGCTTCTTTTAAGTCCTAGGAAGCTACTAGAAAAATCTCACGTAAAGGTTGCTGTTCAGTTCCATTCTTACCCAATAAAAGTATAGAAACACTGTCTTTATTTGATGGTGTGCATAAATATTACACTCCATGGATAGCAAAAATATTTTTATTTATAATTTACAGTTCACAAGTGAAAATTGTACATTTTTACACATACAATTTTATTTTGTTAAATTTGCACTCATCTACAGAACTTTCACACAACAAGCACCTGAAACTGTGCAGGCAGTAGGAAATGCAAATACTAAAATGTATTTATTAACCAAATGATAGCTGAAGGCCCTGCCTCAGCTAGACAATTTATACAGATATATGTCTATATATACATAAAAAATTCTTCACCTTCTAGATCCAACAGCAGCTTTTGTTAAAAAAAGAATAGCATACCTTTCTCATTTTATTTAAACTGACTCAACTGTATCACTTTCTGTTTTAATTTCAGTGGGTGTTGCTACACTTTCTTCTGAACAAGCTGGCGGAGCATCAATTTGTTCTTCCTTAACTTTGGGACTTTCACAGGGTTCTTGCAATTCGTTTTTGACAATGTTCAACATAATGTTCAAAGGGTTTTCAACTGGTGTCTTGCTGGGAGATGGTGTACAATCAAAAGAAGATGTCTACAAAATGAAAATCCCTATAAGTACTAATGAAGGTGCCAATCATATTAATAGTTTTATAACACTCTTAGTATTACAATGCTTGCTTTCTACAAACTAAAACATTGATACCACTAACAAGTTAGACATCAGTAGTTATACAGAGGACAACCTTATCCTAACGCTGAGTCTACTATGTTGCCCCTAAGTGCTTTTGATAATTTTTTTAAACCCCTACATCAAAAATACCCTAGGAAACACTAATCTTCTAGTAAACTAAACATGTATTAAAATCTCTATCAAACCATTGTCAGAAGTCAACATTTTCCAATGGTTTAGAAGAGTTCAGATACAAATAAATCAATATGAATTTCTAGGGCTTCTAGATTGGTATCTTTCCAATTTCACATGTCATTTAAAGTTTATTAGTAGAGCTGGGGAGATGACTCAATGGATAAGGTAAACACGCCTGCCAGGTAAGTATAAGGACCCAAGTTCAAATCTCTAGAACACACATAGAATTTGGGTATATAAGAGAATCCCTGGGAGCCTGAAGACCAGCTAGCCTAGTATAATCACAAAACACGAGACTGATGGAAGGTTAGGTAATAACATCCAAGGTTGTCCTCTGACATCGCTATGTGTTGTCTGTGGCACATGTACAGCTTATATTCGCACATACGTGAATGTGCAGACACTTTTTTTTTCTATTTTTTTATTTTGAGATGAGGTCGCTATGTGGTCCTGACTTCTCTAGAACTTGCTATGTAGACCAGACTGGTCTCAAATTCAGAAGATCCTCCTGCCTGTCAAGTGCTGAGATTAAAAGGTATGTGACACCATGCCCACAGTAAATTTCAAAATAAATAATAAATTTCCCAGAGCTCTAATCACTCCCACTGTGATCCTTCTCATTAGCTCAACTTTTCTCTGCCTTATGGTCCAATAAAAGTTATGAAGATTCAAGTAAACAAAGCAAGAAATAAACATTACTTCAAATTTTAATTATCTGTATTTATCAGTGATAATGTACATCCAAGCATATCTGATGCCAATATTTAATGAACAGCCTACTATGTTAAAGCTATAAACATTAAAACTATTAATATAAATAGAAATATACACTATAGAAAAAAAACTTACATTTTGATAATCTTCGTAACATGATGGATGATAAATCTGAACAAAAGAAAAAAAAATACATGTTCATTTCTAGTAATTTTTTCTTTAAATTTTCAATCAAAGGATAGTAAAAATCATACAGTCAAAAAAATTGAGTGAAACCCACTTTTAACTTTAAACAGTTTTGACTGTGAAATACAGTAGACAGAAAACCTACTGAGTGTAGCCATTAGCCTCACATAAGTAAGTATAGAACCATATGGTTACTAAGATCCATCCAAAGGAAACATCAAATGTCCAGTATCATTTTTACTAACCAAAACCCAAAAATTATGAATTATGTTCAAAATGGCCACTTTGCTCTAACAAAACAGGAATATTTCCTTATAAAATAAATAACTTGAAATTACCTTTCCGTCCACTCTAATAGCATTTTTTAAGTGCCATTCCTCCTCCTCTTCATCCCAGTACTGTTCGAATTGTTCTTGACAGATTTCACAACTCTAAAACAGTCATATAAAATGAAACTGATATTGTCCATTAAAAACAAACCTTTTGAGTATGAAACTTAAAAATGTAGAATTTTAAGGAATGTCCAATAAATAATGAAAAATTATGGATTGTGCCAACCTTCCACAAGAAAGCTTAACATTTCACTGTGTTAGTCACGGACAGCATCTAACCCAAATTGATCATGAAACAGCCAAGGTTTTTTAAAAGCTTACAAGAAATTCCTTTACATTTGTTTACAACATTTCATTTAACCTACTAGCATCAAACTCCATAAACCAGGGCTGGTCTTGAACCATGATTCTCTGTGCTACTATGCCAGGGATAAGGCATAAATGTGTGCTTATGACTTAAAATGACGTGAGGAACACTGCCAGAGACAGGGAATTCAAACACCATTCTGTTACCTCAACTGCTCCAGCTGGTCCAGCAGGTACACTTTGGAACTCCTTTTCTTTAGCAGCCTCCTGGGTTTTAAGGACAACCTCTTCATGAACCTTTTCAAAAAACTGGCTTTTTGCACGTTCTTCCAGATCAGCTATTTCTTCAAATTCTATCCAGTCCTTAAAAGGAATTGATGTCAAAGATTGTTCATTTCAGTTTAAGTGTTTACTGGTTTGTCTTCACTAAAATCAATTTAAAGTTAAGGGTTCATTTCATACAGTATGCTCTCTCTTTTTTTTTAATATACTTTTTTCTTTGAGCTCTGTAATTTTTTTTCCTTTCCAAAAGGGTCTCAAAAAAAATGAGTGAAAAAAATGAGTGTAGCCATGCTTGGCCTACTGGAAATCTTACTCCTGTCTTCCATCTCTCAAGTGCTAAGATCACAGGCATATGCCACCAAACCTGGCAGTAACCGAGACCTTAGTCTATTAACTCTAAGCTACCACTAAAGATAAACTTCAAAATTTTTCATTTAAATTTATATTAGAACAGGAGAGATGGCTCAATAGTTTATTGGTGGCTCTTGCAGGACCAGGATTCGGTTCTTAGCACCAACACGGTAGCTTACAACTATCTATCTGTTAACTCAGCTCCAAGGAATCCAACACTCTCTGGCCTCCTCAAGCAGTGCATGCATGTAGTACACAGCATGCAAACAGGTTCTACTCCAGTTTAAAGAATAATTATAAATTCTAAGTACCAGGGTGGTGGTGCCACACACCTTTAATCCAGCACCTGTGAGCTGAAGCAGGTGGATCTCTTGAGTTCCAGGACAGCCAAGGCTACTCAGAGAAACCCTGTCTTGAAAAACAACAACAAAAAATTTTCTAAGTAATACTAGTATTCATAGCAAAGAAAAATGAGAAAAATAATGTGTATGTACACATGGGTATAGGTGCCCCAAGGAAACTGTTTACCAGATTCCAGGGAGCTGGAGTGGCAGGCAAGATGCTCATACACAAAAAAAAAATAATACATCTAAAAAAACAAAAATCTATCTATTATGGATCAAATATTCAGAAAATTCATGTTAACTTCCAACAATTACTTAATACACACATACTTCAGAATCTAACATATCTAGATAACTCAGAGTCATTACTTACTGTTAGACTGTAGTACCAACGTCGATGAGTGACTTTTCTGCTAACATCTTTCTCAGTTCTGTTTTGCCGATAATGCCAATCCAAGTGATCTGCATAAACATCTGTCTGCGATGTTGTAAACCGCATTCCACAAGAGTAACACTGAATCCCAGTATACAGCCGGTTTATAACACTGTCATAACGCCTGTTTTGAAAAACAAAGTCAGTCAATTTTGAAACATGACAATGGTTAAAAACAAATTACAAATACTTAAGTTTTCCATATGTTAACAAAAATAAAACCAGAAAGATCTATGTAAAAGTTAGTGTCACTCACCCTTGAAACACGGAGCCTGCTTTCTTATATATAAATTCACCTTGGTTATTTATTTCCTTTTGGCTAAAAAGGGAGTAACATTCTAGGCTACCTAACAAGGCAACTATTGATTTGCTCAGTTTGAAGTTACTATCAACAGGAAAGACATGGGAAGAGATTTCACCTCCCTACAGTTTTAATGTTCTAAGTAATTAAATGTTCTCCAGTTTAAAGAATAGTTGAAAGTTCTAAGTAATAACAGTATGCATAACAAGAATTAGAAAATTATAAATATTTGTTTTTAATGATGTATATGAATATCTGTGTATGTGTACATATCTGTATATGTGCACATGGGTACAGCTGCCCAAGGAGGCTGAAGATGTTAGATTCCCACAGAGCTGGAGGTACAGGAGGTTATGAACCACCTGATGTGGATGCTTAGAATCCAACTCAGGGACTCTGAAAGAACAGTATATGCTCTTAACCACTGAGCCATCTCTCCAGCCCATAATATTTATATTCTTATCTACAGTTAGTTATTCCTTGCTATCTGAAAGTGGAGCATGATGGTTCACACTTATAATCCAATATCAAATAGTTCAAGACTAAAGAGATACCTCATAAAAGAAATAATACCATGAAATGAAGACATGAATAACTATTAGTACCTAATATTTAAACTTAAGCAGCAGCTATATTTAAAAAGTAGCCACTGTTATCTAAATGATTATCTCTAAAATTAGATTAAAAGGATGGTGTTATAGCTCATAAATAAAAGTACTTATCAGGCAAGCTTGATGGTGAATTCAACAGAAACCAAGCGGAACGAGAAAAACCACCTCCCAAAAGTATACAAACACCATGACATTCACCACTCTCACACACATGCACATTAATAAAAAATAAATAAAAATTTAAAACATACTGCTTCAATTCTTCAATTGTGAAATTAGTAAGATCTGGGACATCTTGATCTTCATTCTGATCCTCCTCCTCTTCTTGGGGAGGCTGAGTAGCAGTCTCATTTACCTCTGCAGTTGTGAAGATAAATTTCTCAATACTACATTCCATGTGTTCTTTATAGCAAAACACTGATTACAAGCAAATACATTTAGCTAGCTAGTATTGAGTACATTTTATATGAAGTGTACGGGCCAAGGAACCTAATAAAATTTCTTAAAATTCTGGTTCCTCAACATTCAAATTATCTTCAAAACCCAAGTTAATTTTTTTAATTAATTAATTAATTATATCTTTTCATGTGCATTGGTGGTTTGTCTGAATGTATGTGAGGATATTAGATCTTGGCAGTTGCAGACAGTTCTGAGCTGCCATGTGGATGCCAGGAATTAAACTCAGGTCCTCTAACCTGAGCAGTCAGTCCTCTGAACCACTAAGCCAT